AGTCCCCTACTCTGTTATGGCCAACGACCTGGAGCCTCAAGCATTATAATGCTGCATGCAGGGAGCCTTCTACCAGGAGCAGCTTCGTTCCTTTGAGCTGACTCTGCAGGCCTGTGCGTGTTGATAGGCGACCACAATGATAATGTTTCACAGGTGCGCTAATCCGTGCTAGCGCCCAATGACACTGTTCCTTGAGCCATTGAGCCCGGCTACCTGGTCATCAGGTAGTGGACACTGATTGAGGACACAATGCCTGGCTATCCTATCATGTGTTGCAGGCCACACCTGCAAGTTTAAATTGCAAATTACATCATCCAACCACAAAGCAGATCAGACACCATAAGTATGCAGAAATTCCATCCAGAAATGATTCGCTACTGGACTCCGCTCATTTAAGGACCTTGATCTCTGTTTCTGAGGAATGCAAAGTGATCTGTCGCTGTTTTTCCTACTCATATTCCCAAAGAAGTTCATAAAGCTAGTTATGGCAGCTCTGCGGAGGTGCCAGCATCTGTGGTGGCTGTTTGGAGCCAGAACTGCACAGATCCACTACTCTATTCCTGAGGAGCTAGAGAAGGGTTCCTTCATCAGCAACATCATCAAGGACTTGGAACTGGAGCCCCAAGAGCTCATGGAGAGCGGAGTCTTCATCGTCTCCAGGAGTAGGATGCAGCCTTTCTCTCTGAACCCGCGAAGCCGCAGCTTGGTCACCGCAGGCAGGATAGACCGGGATGAGCTCTGCACTCAGCGCGTGTGGTGTCTAATAAATTTTAACATTCTTATCAAAGATAAGAATGTTATCTTTATCCAGTGGAAGTGGAAATAGTGGACATTAATGACAATGCTCCCCAATCTTTAAGGGAAGAATTGGAAGTGAAAATTTCTTGAAAACGCAATTCCGTCTTCTCGCTTTTGACTAATGGAGGTCTATCCTGATATGAGAATAACTCACTTCAGAACTTCAAGCAGTAACAGATTCTTTTCAGTGGATGTGTAAAACCAAGCTCATGGGCCCAAGTACCCAGAGCTGGTGCTGGAGTGTGCCCTGGACTGCTAGAGAGAAGCCATTCACCACCTGAACCTTACTGCCATGGATGGTGGTAACCCTGTCTGTTCAGGTATGGCACGAATTGTGTTAACTGTCCTAGATGGGAATGACAATGCTCCAGTGTTTATTCAGCCCATCTACCGCATGAGTGTTCCTGAATATCTGCCTGTGTTGTCCGTAAATGCCACAGACCAGGATGAAGGAATCCATGCCCAAATTGCATATTCCTTTGTGAAGATCACAGAGAGGATCACACAAATTTTCTGCTTGAATGTTTTAACTGAAGAAATTTCAACTTCTGCAACTCTAGACTATGAGGACTCTAGCTTTTATGAGCTGGATGTTGAAGCCCAGGATCAGTCAGGTCTTCAAGACTGAGCAAAAGTCTTAATTACCATCTTGGATGTGAATGATAATGTACCAAAAGTGGTTGTTATGTCTGGAAGCAGAACAGTCACTGAAAAGGTACCTCCAGGAACAGTAATTACTCTTTTTCAAGTGTATGATCGAGATTCTAGACTAAATGGCTTGGTAACATGTTCCATTGTACAAAGTCTCCCTTTTGACTTGGAAAAATCAGTAGATGATTATTATGGATTAGTGACAAGTGCAGTTCTAGACTAGGAACAGGTGTCCTTGTACAACATCACTGTGATAGCTACAGACAAAGGAATACTGCCTCTGTCTACAGAAAAGCTCATTTCTTTACATGTGGTAGAGACTAATGACACTCACCCATTTTCTCCCATTCATCCTACTCTATGTCACTGAGATGCTTCCAGTCCCAGAGGTGCTTCCATCTTCTCTGTGAATGCACTGGACCCTGACAGTGAAGAGAATGCCCAAGTTGCTTACTCCCTACCTGAGGATATACTCCAGGGGACACCTCTGTCTTCCTACCTCTCCATCAACTCCAATACTTGTGTCGTGTATGCACTGTGCTCCTCTGACTATGAACAGTCTAGAGACATCCAGGTACTGGTGATAGCCAGTAACAATGGGAACCCGTCACTCAGTAGCAATGCATCACTGAGCCTGCTGGTGCTGGATCAGAATGACAATGTGCCTGAGATCTTGTACCCTCCCCTCCCCACTGACAGTTCCACTGGGGTGGAGCTGGCTCCCTGCTCCGCAAAGCCTGGTTATCTAGTGGTGGCAGTGGACAGAGATTCAGGTCAGAATTCCTGGCTGTCCTGCTGCCTGCTCAAGGCCAGTGACCCAGGGCTATTCTCAGTGGAACTACACACAGGTGAGGTGCGAACAGCAGGGTCCCAGCTAGACAGAGAGTCACTCAAGCAGAGTCATATGGTGGAAATCCAGGACCACAGCCAGCCCCCTCTTTCAGCCACTGTCACACTCATGGTGGTGGTGGCCAACAGCATCCCTGATGTTCTGGCTGATTTGAGCCATTTCAATCCCCCGCATGACTTTGATGCCTCAGACCTCACACTCTATCTAGTGTGGCAGTGGCTACTGTTTCCTGCATTTTCTTTGCCTTTATTATGGTGTTGCTGGTGCTTAGACTGCAAAGATGGCACAAATCAAGCTTTCTGAAATCTGCAAATGGGGGTTTGCCAAGTGTGCCCTCCCCACACTTTGTGGGTATGAATGGGATGCAGGCTTTCCTGCAGACATATTCCGATGAGGTCTTGCTCACCTTGAATTCAAGAAGCCACGTCATCTTCCCCCAGCCCAACTATGCTCACATGCTTGTCAGCCAGGAGGGTTGTGAGAAAAATGAGCTTCTTTTGATATAGGAAGATTCAGGGTTTTGTAAAGAGGAAGACTCCCTTGTTCAGATGAGGTTATATTTTTTTATTTAAAAAAAAAAAACAGAAAATTTTAAAATTCTTTGATCCATGCTAAGTTTTCTTAGTCTTTTGCAGCAAACTATGTAATTCTGATTTTTTATATAAATCAACCTCTTTTTAATCTTGTTTTTTTTAATTTGACTTTAAAAACAATTTAGTTTATTTTTTAACCTTTCTTTTATATGAAAGCTTTGATTTTGTACATCTCATATCTTAGACATTTGTGAAATCCTTTCTTTTTCTAATATTAAAAAAACTGAATTACTGCCTCTGTTAAATAAGACTAAGATCTTAGTAGCCAGGAGCAGTGGAGCACACCTATAATTCTAGTAACTCAGGAGGCTGAGGCAGGAAGATCACAAGTTCGAGACCAGCCTCAGCAACTTAGCAAAGGTCTAAGCAACTTAGTGAGACCCTGTCACAAAATAAAAGATAAAAAGGGCTGGGGATGTATCTCAGTGGTAAAGTGCCCCAGGTTCAATTCCCAGTATCCCCCCCAAAAAAAAGGTCTTTGTATTTCCTCAATGTTACTAAATAATTGTAAATAAACATTGGGGGTCTGAGAGTATAGTATATAGATTAGCCTACCTTGCACAAAGCCTTGGGTCCAAATTCTACCACTGCAAAACACACACACACACACACACAGAGAGACACTACACATTGAATTGATCTTCTAAATAAGATGATAAAAGTAATACATCTTTTTATAAATCAATAGTGATATTTGCATTTCTGCAATTATTATACAATTGTTTATTTCAAGTTTCCAATTGTATATGGCTAACCAAGAGATTACATATATTTTCAAATCTGATTTGTTTAGACATTTGTGATATGATCCCTTGATGTGTTTTATCAAAATTTAAGAGTAAAGCTGGCCAGGTGTGGTGGCCTACACCTGTAATCCCAGTGGCTTGAGAGGTTGAATCAGGAGGATCATGAGTTCAAAGCCAGCCTCAGCAACTTAAAGAGGCAATTGTAAGACCCTGTCTCTAAATAAAATATTAAAAAGGGCTGGGGATGTGGCTCAGTAGTTAAACCCATCAGAGTTCAATCCCTGGTGCAAAAAAAAATATTAAGAGTAAATTATAATTTTAAACAAATGGAATCTTGGACATTAGTCATGTGATTCAGATGGTCTCATACAAATATGATTATTTATTTTTTTTTTACACTTTGAGAATATGAATGGTGTTTTACTGTATCACCAGTTTTGGGTGATTTTACTGCATCTTGAATATCTGTCATTATAGGTAAAGCTAGCTAACTGGGTTTCATGGATAGTAGACTGGTTTATTTTATTCTTTTACCTGAGTTACCTGTTATCATTTTATTTAAACAAAACATTTCACTAATCAAAAAAAAATAGATCCTACTCTCACAATAGTCATTTATTCATGTAGTCAGTCAGTCATGATACATATATAAAGTGACCACTTGATAAATGCTCGGGAATCATGAAATTTGCTAAGTAAGACTCTTTGAACTACCAAATAAATCACCAATACTAAGATAGGCTGTCAGAGATTTTGAGCATATATTGAATTTTCAAGCATAGGGGGATGTGTCTATCAAATTATTGATCACTTTTATCATCTGTGAAAAACATTCCAGTCTGATCAAACTTATGTTGAGATGATATATTTTTTAAAGTAAGGAAGTAAAACTCAGTAGGAATCATGAGAAAATACAACTTTGCTTGGCAATAAACTAATCAGAATTCTAACTAAATAAATGGTTCTTCAATAGAAAAAAATCTCATAAAAGAAAGAAGATAATTAATTCAATGTCTGGAAAATCAAGTAGACTTTCCATTGAAATTTTAAATGCAAGTTAAAAAAAAGCAAATGTCAGAATGCTTCTCAATAGCTATCTATAACGTACTGACTTTAAAACTATAAAATTATTTTGATTTGATCTATTGAGCTTATGTTACATTTTATTAAACACATTTTGATTGTCTAGGATTGTCTAGTAGAGATCTTTAATATTTAATTTTATGTTGTGGAATACTTTAGAAAACTTGAATACTGGAGATAATGAAGTCATTTTTAGGAAATATATATATATATATATATATATATATACACACACACATACATATACATATATATATACACACATTTATAGGTATATATGAATATGCACACATATATACACATATATCAAACGTTTACTTTTTTAGCTGCAATGACTGATTTTTCTCTACGTTCCATAAAGTGTGAGTGCCTAAAAAGTAACTTCAAAGTTGCAACACAAAAGAGTCAAAAAATTATATGAGATTAATAAATACCCATCCATAAACATTATTGCATTAATCAGTGTCTTAAAATGAATTTTTAAAGTATATCAGAGATATTAGGATTGAAGAAACAATAGGGATATTTTTGAGGGGTGAAACTATTTTCTGTAAAACCAGTTTATTTTGCTTCAATATGATGCAATAACTTAGTAAGGACTCTGAGCGCCGCTGTTCACCAACCAGGGGAAAAATGGTGTGATGAAATCCGACAGGAACCACCGAGTTTACAGCACATACAAAAAAAATCCGGCAGTTTCAGACAAGCCCTCTTTCAAGCTGCGCCATAGTCAAGCCTCTGTACAGCTGAGTTCTGGGTCTCCCTTCCGAATACAGAGGAGTCCACTCAGAAACATCTGCATTCAGCAGGACATCCCGACTCTGCTCAGGGTCTAAGCAAGATCAGCAGGACAACAATGGCGGCTCGGCAGAGGGGCGAGAACTACAAAGGATTCGTCCTCCTTTCCATACTCCTGGGGACATGGTGGGAAGCCTGGGCAGGACAAATTCTCTACTCCGTGACAGAAGAGACAGATGAAGGGTCTTTTGTGGGTCATATAGCAAAGGACCTGGGTCTGGAACCCCAGGAGCTGGCGGGGCGCGGAGTCCGCATCGTCTCCAAAGGTAGGAGGCAGCTTTTCTCTTTGAACCCGCGAAGTGGCAGCTTGGTCACCGCAGGCAGGATAGACCGGGAGGAGCTCTGCGCCCAGAGCGCGCGGTGTCTGGTGAGTTTTAACATCCTTGTTGAGGATGAAATGAAACTTTACCCTATAGAAGTGGAAATATTTGATGTTAATGACAATGCTCCTAGATTCTTGATGGAAGAAATAAACGTAAAAATAATGGAGAATACAGTTCCTGGGATGCGGTTTCCGCTAAATGAGGCTGGAGATCCAGATGTGGGCACGAACTCCCTCCAGAAATACCAGCTCAGCCCCAATCGCCACTTCTCCCTGGTTGTGCAAAATGGAGACGATGGAAATAAATACCCAGAATTGGTGCTGGAGCAGGTGCTGGACAGAGAGGAAGAAATGACTCACCACCTGGTCCTCACAGCCTATGATGGTGGAGACCCACCCTTATCTGGCATCCTGAATATCCAAGTGACAGTAGTGGATGTGAATGATCACACACCAGTCTTCTCTCTACCCCAGTACCAAGTGGCTGTACCTGAGAATGTACCAGTGGGCACAAGACTTCTCACAGTAAATGCAATCGACCCAGATGAGGGAGTCAACGGGGAAGTGACATATTCTTTTCGAAAAATAACTCCAAAACTTCTACAAATATTCCATCTGAACTCCCTTACAGGAGAATTATCAACTTTAGAAAGCCTGGATTATGAAGAATCTAGCTTCTATGAAATTGAAGTTCAGGCTCAGGATGGTCCTGGTAGTCTGACAAAAGCTAAAGTATTAATCACAATTTTAGATGTAAATGACAATGCTCCCGAAGTGACTTTCATGTCCATAAGCAACTCAATCCCTGAGGACACACCTCCTGGGACAGTAATTGCTCTTTTCTACCTCCAAGACAGAGATTCTGGAAAGAATGGAGAGGTGACTTGCACTCTTCCAGAAAATCTGCCTTTTAAGTTAGAAATATCAATTGATAATTATTATAGATTGGTCACAGCAGAAAACCTGGACCGGGAAAAACTCTCTTTGTACAACATCACACTGAAAGCCATAGATGGTGGGACTCCTCCTCTGTCCACAGAAACACACATCTCCATACATGTGGCAGACACCAATGACAACCCACCTACATTCTCTCACTCCTCTTACTCCATCTACATCCCTGAGAATAACCCCAGAGGTGCCTCCATCTTCTCAGTGACTGCACATGACCCTGATAGCGACAAGAATGCCCAGATCACTTATTCCTTGGATGAGGACGCCACCCAGGAGACATCAGTGTCCTCCTACATCTCCATCAACTCTGACACTGGTGTCCTGTATGCACTTCAATCCTTTGACTATGAGCAGTTTCGCAACCTACAACTGAGAGTGACTGCACATGACAGTGGGGACCCACCTCTCAGCAGCAAGGTTTCATTGAACCTGTTTGTCCTGGACCAGAATGACAATGTGCCGGAGATTCTGTATCCCACTCTCCCCACAGATTGGTCCACTGGGGTGGAGTTGGCTCCCCGCTCTGCAGAGCCTGGTTATCTAGTGACCAAGTTGGTGGCAGTGGACAAAGATTCAGGCCAGAATGCTTGGCTGTCCTACCGCCTGCTCAAGGCCAGTGATCCAGGGCTTTTCTCTGTGGGGCTGCATACTGGTGAGGTACGCACAGCACGTGCCCTTCTGGACAGAGACACACTCAGACAGAGCCTGGTTGTGGCTGTCCAGGACCATGGCCAACCACCTCTCTCAGCCACTGTCACATTCACTGTGGCTGTGGCTGACAGCATACCAGATGTCCTGTCCGAATTTGGCAGCAATGGGATGCTTATGGACCCTAGTGATTCAGATCTTACACTCTACTTGGTGGTGGCAGTGGCCACTGTCTCCTGTGTTTTCCTTGTCTTTGTTATTGTGCTGCTTTTACTCAGACTGCAGCGCTGGCACAAGTCACGCTTGCTCCAGGGCACAGGTGGTGGGTTGGAGGATTTGCCTGCCTCACACTTCGTGGGCATGGATGGGGTGCGCACTTTCCTGCAGACCTATTCCCATGAGATCTCCCTCACATCAGATTCTCGGAAGAGCCACATTATCTTTCCCCAGCCCAATTACGTGGACACACTCATCAGCCAGGAAAGCTGTGAGAAAAATGATTCTTTGTTAACATCCATAGATTTTCATGAATGTCAGAGTGAAGTACCAAGGAATCAGGTGAGTTCAGTTCTTCCTTTATCTTTATTTCCATGACCATTATGTTTTCCAAGAAATGTTCCTATTATTTGTAAAACAAGTATTTTGAAGATAAGGGTTAAGAAAGCTTGAAGGAGGTAAAAAGTTTACTGGTTTATTTAATTGTTGATAATTTAATATAGAACACAAAGGTTATGGTACCTAATTTGAAAGGTAGTGAAAGCCTTTTGTACAAGATTATTAATAAGTAAGCTGTTGTATTTTTACCTTTCACTTATTTTCCACTTGGTTTTCTTGCAAGCATATTTAATTTTTTTCAGTGCTGAGAATTAAACTTGCCTCGCTCATGTTAGGCAAGTGCTGCACTACTGAGTTACATCCCCAGCCCCACCACTTGTTTTTCTTTTTTCTTTTCTTGTTTCTTTAGCAATACAAATTTGTTTATTGGTTCTTTGTAGTTATACCTGAAAGCAGATCCATTTTTATATGATTATGCAAGCATGGAATATATTGTATTCTAGTTAGAATCCAATTTGTATGGATGTCCATGATGGTGGGATCCACTGTGTTGTTTTCATGTATGTACATGGGAAAATAATGTCAGACTCATTCTACTGTATTTCCTTTTCCTATCCCCTTCCATGCCTTCTGTCTCCCACTGTGTAATCTACTGAACTTCTGTTCATCCCCTCACTCCTGTATTGTTGTGGGTTAGCTTCTACATATCAGAGAAAACATTCAACCTTTGGGTTTTTTTGGAGATTGGCTTATTTTACTTAGCATTATAGTTTCCAGATCCATTGATTTTCTGGCAAATGTCATAAATCATCTTTCTTTATGGTTGAATAATAATTCATTGTGCATACATACCACAATTTATTCATTCATCTGTTGAAGGGCACCTAGGTTGATTCCATAGCTTAGCTATTATGAATTGAGTCGCTATAAACATTGATGTGATTACATCACTGTAGTATGCTGATTTTAAATCCTTTGAATATATATATATACAGGAGTGGGATAACTGGGTCAAATGGTGGTTCCATTCCATGTTTTCTGAGGAATCTCTATACTGTTTTCCAGAGTGGTTGCACCAATATGCAGTACCACCAGCTTCTTAACTCATGTGTTTTATAAAAGAGAATGAATTATTGAGTCTTTCTCTGTGTGCTAGGTTAGGAAGAGCAAAACATACTTCAGCTGCCTTCTCAGGATTCTCTTTATGATTTGAGTCTCTAAAAGGTTATTAAGGATTTTCCAGTCTGGAACTTTTTTCTGTGTTCTTCTTCCACTTCCATGTACCTTAGCTTGGTGGCCTTAAAAATTGTGATGGCTTTCTTATCTATTTTAAAGTATCTAAGAAAGCTAGGATGCTACTAGAAAGTGAGATTGACACTTAAAGAATAAAATGTGTCAACTTTCATTAACATCTGTATAAAAGACACAGTGTCTAATGCCATACTAAAGGTCATTGGACAAAACCAATAAAATGTCAAACAAAATATTTCAATTTGTAACTGGCATTTATGAAATGGCACTTGCATGCTTTAACATAGAATTCCAAGGTACCATTTTAGTGGTATATCCATGTGGAGAATTCTGAAGGCTCCACAAGTGGGAGATTGGAGAAGCTGGCTCTACAAAACAACCATCTCTTGCACTCAAACTCTAGAATAGTAGTCATTTTTATTTATTGGGTATGCTGAAAATTTCAACTAGAAACAACCCAATCTGGGACTACTTCGATATTCTTTTGTATAGCGTTTTCATGAAGTTTAATACTTCAGATGATGATCATCTGTAAGAAGTGGATAATAAGATAATCTCAATTCCTGGGATCTTTCCAGTGTTAATTTAAAGGATATTTTTCCAGTGTTGTATTTGGTAGCATTTTCCATATAAGAAATAGTGCAATGGCATGAGAGATATTTCACTCATTCTGCAGGGTTCAGATGTGCAATCACTTTACAAAAGAACACTACTGATACTGTGTGAGAAAATGTCATCTGGCAGAAATATGATTATCATGCCAGATAAAGAAAATTTCCTGATCAAAATTAGATAGATGTTTAAAATTATTTTTACATAAAGGGGAGAAATTATCACTAAATTCACAGAGCCATTGCAAGCAAACTTTCCAAGGATCTAGAAATTCTGAGATCATCATCAGGTATAAAATAAGTTCAGGGTGGAGACCAGTGTTAGAGTACAAAAGACCTCAGTAATTTCATGTTGCAAGGCAAAATATTATTTCTGAGGTCTGCGGATGTATCTTAGTGGTGAGGGCTTGCCTAGCACACATGAGGCCCTGGGTCAATTCCTGGTGTCACAAAAATATGTATATATTATTTCTTTGGTGTCTTTGAATATTGACATTATATTTTGTGACCTAGAGAATGATTGCATAATAGGAAAGGAATAGACTAACATTCAGACAACCTCATTTCTTTTCCTGAGATAGTGGGAATGAGAATCAGGTAATATTTCTGAAAGGAAATCACTGAAACTCTTTTAGATAAAGAGATGTATTTGGAGATAAGTACGAATTGCATCTTCTTTAAAACAAATCTCAGCATTATTAATGTTCTTTGGAGAAAAAAAAACACCAAATTAACCATCTTGAAGAAAGTAGAAAAGTGGGTTGAAACCTTAGGAGCAAAAAAGGGGGACATTATCCACTATATTACAAATGGCTAAGTGTGTAAAACAACTGTACTCTATGATGGCTTATGCCAAGTTTGTTGCAGTCATCTTTGTATCACTAAATACATATTTGAATATTGTGGAATGTAGGAGCCTCAGAAAAATATTTATGTACTAAATATACGTGATTTTCCTAAAAGCCTGAAAAGATGAGATAAAGCGTGTCTGAAATTATGGTTTAAAACATTATTAAATATATACACGAACCTACATAGTTTCAGTTGGACACAATGGTCCTACACAATGGTTAAACTGAAACAGTACAGGCTGCAGTTTCGTCCTGTGGACTCTGGGCGCCGCTGTTGTCCAAAGAGGAGCTTGGAGCTCACCATCTCCTCGCGCAACCGCAGCGCGCTTTCCAGAGCAACTCTGTGTGACTCTTCAATGCCAGCCATTACACCGCTACTTCCCACGGAAAAAGAAGAGTATTTTTTTCTGGACTGGATCTGGAACTAAGTCCTTTCGGAGCTCCGAATATCTGCAATACGGAGGTCATTCGTACTCCAGAGTCTCCTGACTGGTGAGCAAGCAGAGGGGAGCAAGAGGGATGGGGAGCGGCGCTGCGGAGAGGGGCCAGACTCACAGGCGGCCAGTGCTCCTTCCCTTCCTACTGTCTTTGTTCTGCCAGGCGCTCTCTGAGCAGATCCGCTACAGGATTCCCGAAGAAATGCCCATGGGTTCGGTAGTGGGGAACCTCGCCAAGGACCTAGGGTTCCGTGTCCTGGAGTTACCGACTCGAAAACTGCGTATCAGTTCAGAGAAGTCTTACTTCACTGTGAGCTCAGAGACAGGGGAACTGCTTGTGAGCGGCAGGCTAGACAGGGAGCAGATATGCGGGAGGCAGCCAGTTTGTGCTCTGGATTTTGAGGCTGTTGCTGAAAATCCACTGAACTTTTACCACGTGAGCGTGGAGATTGAGGACATTAATGACCACGCGCCAAAATTTGCGCATGTTTTCTTTGATCTGCAAATAAGTGAGTCTGCTCAGCCAGGCACACGATTTATATTAGGATCGGCCCACGATGCAGACATAGGTACCAATGCACTACAGAATTACCAACTTAGTCCCAATGAATATTTCTCACTCTTGAGTAAAGAGAAATCAGATGGCAGTAAATACCCGGAGATGGTATTGAAGACACCTTTAGACCGGGAAAAGCAGAAATCCTACCGCTTGACATTGACTGCTTTGGACCTGGGGGAGCCACCTCTCAGCAGCACTGCACAGATACAAGTCCTAGTGACTGATGCCAATGATAACCCTCCAGTGTTCAGCCAAGAGATATATAGGGTGAGCCTCCCAGAAAACGTACGTCCAGGAACCACTGTGCTTCAGGTGACTGCTACCGACCAGGATGAAGGTGTCAATGCCGAAATCACTTTCTCTTTCAGCGAAGCTGGCCTGAGACCTGAGTTTGACCTGAATTCTAATACTGGAGAGATTATTATTCTAAATACATTAGATTTTGAAGAGATCAAAGAGTATTCTTTTGTTTTGGAAGCAAAGGATGGTGGAGGAATGATTGCACAATGTACAGTGGAGATAGAAGTCCTAGATGAAAATGACAATGTCCCAGAAGTGATATTCCAATCGCTACCCAACCTAATTATGGAGGACTCTGAGCTAGGTACACTCGTTGCTTTGCTGAAAATCCGTGACAAGGATTCTGGTCACAATGGAGAAGTTATTTGTAAATTAGAAGGTGATACTCCATTTAAAATACTCACTTCGTCAAGAAATACATATAAGTTAGTGACGGAAAGGGTTCTAGACCGCGAGAAGAACCCAGAGTACAACGTAACCATCACAGCCACTGACCGGGGTAAGCCGCCTCTCTCTTCCAGCTCAAGTATCACCCTGCACATTGGTGATGTAAACGACAACGCTCCAGTTTTCCAACAGACCTCCTATGTAGTCTACATAGCAGAAAACAACCCTCCTGGAGCCTCCATCGCTCAAGTCAGCGCCTCCGACCCAGATCTGGGGCCCAACGGCCAAGTCTCCTACTCCATCGCGGCCAGCGACCTGGAGCCTCGGGCATTGTTATCCTACGTGTCTGTGAGCGAACAGAGCGGCGTGGTGTTCGCACAGCGAGCCTTCGACCACGAGCAGCTGCGTTCTTTTGAGCTGATTCTGCAGGCTCGTGACCATGGTTCGCCCGCGCTCAGCGCCAACGTGAGCCTGCGCGTGTTGGTAGGCGACCGCAACGACAACGCGCCGCGGGTGCTCTACCCCGCGCTGGCGCCCGATGGCTCAGCGCTCTTCGACACTGTGCCGCGCGCCTCGGAGCCCGGCTACCTGGTCACCAAGGTGGTGGCGGTGGACGCTGACTCTGGACACAATGCCTGGTTGTCCTACCACGTGCTGCAGGCCAGCGACCCCGGACTCTTCAGCCTGGGGCTACGCACTGGCGAGGTGCGCACTGCTCGCGCCTTGGGCGAAAGGGACTCAGCCCGCCAGCGCCTGGTGGTCGCTGTGCGTGATGGTGGCCAGCCGCCTCTTTCGGCCACCGCCACGCTGCATCTGGTCTTCGCGGACAGCCTGCAGGAGGTACTGCCAGACCTCAGTGACCGCCCTGTACCCCCTGACCCCCAGGCGGAGCTACAGTTCTACCTGGTGGTGGCCTTGGCCTTGATCTCAGTGCTCTTCCTCCTGGCAGTGATTTTGGCTATTGCCCTGCGCCTGAGGCACTCCTCCAGCCATGAGGCTTGGGGCTGCTTTCAACCTGGAATGTGCACCAAGTCTGGGCCTGTGGTTCAGCCCAACTACAGTGAGGGAACTCTGCCTTATTCCTATAATCTCTGCGTTGCACATATGGGAAAAACAGAGTTTAATTTCCTACAAAGTAGTGATCCACTGAGTTCAGGACAAGATATACTCTGCAGTGAGTCACCAGGAACTTTGTTTTCACTTTGTAATTCCAGTGAGTCAACCTCCCATCAGGTAAGTTTCCATTGATCATGACCTAGTATTCATTTTCTACCCAATTCTCCATGTTCACAGGAAAATACACAATTTTCTATCTTGTGAGATAGTTGTAGTGAGAGGCAGGGGTGAACTAAATAAGACAACATTTGCCTAACATTCAGGCCTTTGATTCAATCTCTAGTACAGCCAAAAAATAAATAAATAAAAAGTGTGGTCAGTTAAAAAGCTTTCATTCAGTTCTTCAAAGGATGAGTGAAGCAGGAGTAATTATATAGCTTATAGGTGTGTCTTACCAAGCTAGGGTTTACAAAGCAGTCAATGTGTGGTTTAACTACCAAGTGAAAACCTTAGACAAGTATTAACTTATTAACTCTCCCCTAAGAAGTTAATAGGATTTATCCATAAGTTTTTCTTCCTGTAAGTTAAAATTGTATACAATGAATACATTTTTAACTTGGAAATGCTATAATATAAAAATAGTCATTTTAAAAAATCCTTAAAGCAAAAGATTTTCATCCAAAACTAGATTTTTATTCAATATTTTATCTATGGTTTCCTTTCCTATGGCATCTGCTGTTTTATTTCTTATGTTTACTTTCTTCTGGAATAAGGAGTCAATCTGGGCTTTTATTCCAAGGACCCCTTTTATGTAGTGTGTATGTGGTGTGTGTGTGTGTGTGTGTGTGTGTGTGTAACCATTTACTTAGCAGAAGATTCATTATGCTTATCAAAAGTTTGAAAGCGGCATAGGGTTTTCAGGGCCAGTCTGCATTGAAGCCCATTTAGTAGTTTCCATCAAAGAAAAGGCAAACAATGCTTTGCCTCTGTTATTCCTCTCTTATACACTTCTAATACATAATGCTAAACTGTCTTTTTCAGCCCTAAACTAACTTGCCCAATGATCTTCTAATCATTCTAGTACATTTTGAATAGGAGTAGCTTTGAATGCTTCAAATTTTTAGACAATGTGCCAATCTGATGTAAATATTAAAATATATAGGAATGATCATAGTACATTGTCTCAACTATTTGTTAGGTATTCTTTAGCAACTGCATTATTTAATAGCTACTTTTAAAAATACTGAAGGAAAGAGAATTTTTGTAGTAGCACTTATTGTTTGACTTCTTAGTGATAATTACGTGTTTCTTACTTTCTATTGTTGTTTTTATAAAACAAGCTAAAACCAACTTTGGAATATTTGTCTACCTTAAAAATTAGTCTGCTTTAAAATACAATCATCTCTCTTTGGTTAAAGAGATGGAATGGAGATTTGCTTTTGGTTGTATATTCATTTGTACTTTTCAAGTATTTCCTATTCAATTAAAATATAAAGATTAAAGATTAAAAATAAATATTTTAAATGAAACAGTAAGACAATATAATCTCTGATAAAATATGAATTGCAAAAGGATTTCCTGATAAAGTTTCACAATGTTAATTTGAAAACAAGTATCAATGTGTAATCAAAATAGCATTTAGAAAGAAAACTTAAAAGCAACAACTCTCTAGGAAGCTAGAATAATGATTAATTTTATACCAAATAAAACAACTTCTGAATCAATCTTCAATAGGTCTGTTTGAGTCTAAAAATTAAGTCATTTTCAGTGAACAACTGAAGTTGTCACTTATTGGATAACATATATTGAAGAAACTTACAGTAAAGCTTAAGACACAATGTGAACAATTGTTGTATTTCTTTTAAGAGGAGCAAATATATTCCACAAAAGTGAGTAATTTAATATAAGGCTATTCCAAAAATCAATCATTTAATGCTTTCTAAAACCTTCACCCCCACTTTCTCCTACCTCTTTGACAATCTCTTTTAAAATATGCATTTAGAGACAAATTAACTAAATTCAAAACAAAGTATAAAAAGCAACTAGTATTTTTTTCCCCTCACTATTACATATCTAAGTAATCTGTATCTAAGTGCAGTAACTGCTTAGGACTCCAAGCGCCGCTGTTCACTTACTGGGAGAGAATTGTAACCGGAAGGCCATCTGATGTTCCGTGCTCACACATCACAAAGACTGGCAGCTCCCAAAACCAACTGCTGGGCTGCAGCGAAATTCAGTCCTAAATTTAGGGCTTCCCTAAATTTTCTGTAACATTAAGATCTCCACGACTTCCCCAAAAAGGTAAACAAGACACATATGCCCCGGGAATATTCTGAAAGGATCCTGTAGCGAAAGAACAATGGCGATTCCAAAGAATCACCAAGGACGTGGCGAGCTGGTCCTGCTGTGCACACTCCTGGCGATATTGTGGGAGCTCGGGACAGCACTGATTAGCTACTCGGTTCCAGAAGAGGTGGACAAAGGCATCTTGGTGGGCAACATCTCCAAGGACCTGAGACTGGAACCCTGGGAACTGGCAGATCGCGGAGTCCGAATTGTCTCCAGAGGTAGGACGCAGCTTTTCTCTCTGAATCCACAAAGCGGCAGCCTAATCACTGCGGGCAGAATAGACCGGGAGGAGCTCTGCGCCCAGAGCGCACGGTGTCTTGTAAATATTAACATCCTCGTTGAGGATGGAGGAGAACTCTTTGGGGTAGAAATAGAAATAACTGATATTAACGATAATAACCCAAAATTCCATGTTGACGATCTGGAAGTAAAAATTAATGAAATCGCTGCTCCTGGAGCTCGGTACCCACTCCCAGAAGCCATTGACCCGGATGTGGGCGTGAACTCCCTGCAGAGCTACCAGCTCACCCCCAGTCACCACTTCTCCCTGGACGTGCAAACGCGAGACGATGGAACCTTAAACCCGGAGCTGGTGCTGGAGCACACTCTGGACCGAGAGGAAGAGGCTGTTCACCACCTGGTCCTCACCGCCTCGGATGGCGGCGACCCACGTCGCTCTAGCACAGTGCGCATCCAGGTGACAGTGCTGGATACAAACGACAATGCCCCAGTGTTTGCTCAACCGATTTACAGAGCCAAAGTCCTTGAGAACGTGCCACCAGGCACCCTATTGCTTACAGTAAGAGCTAGCGACCCGGATGAGGGAGCCAACGGAAAAGTGGCATATAAATTCCGGAAAATCAATGAAAAACAATCTCCCATATTCCAGCTTAATGAAAATACTGGGGAGATATTTGTAGCAAAAAGTCTAGATTATGAAGAATGTTCATTTTATGAAATGGAAATACAGGCTGAAGATGTGGGAGCACTTCTCGGGAGGACCAAAGTGCTAATTATGGTGGAAGATGTAAATGATAATAGACCCGAAGTGATCATCACGTCTTTGTTTAACCCAGTATTGGAAAATTCTCTTCCTGGTACGGTAATTGCCTTCTTGAATGTGCATGACCAAGACTCTGGAAAGAATGGGCAAGTTGTTTGTTACACACATGATAATTTACCTTTTAAATTAGAAAAGTCAATAGATAATTATTATAGATTGGTTACGTGGAAATATTTGGACCGAGAAAAAGAGTCTACTTACAATATCACAGTGACAGCATCAGACCTAGGATCCCCACCTCTGTCTACTGAAACTTATATCACCCTGACTGTGGCAGACACCAACGACAATGCACCCATTTTCCCTCATGCCTCCTACTCAGCTTATATTCCAGAGAACAATCTGAAAGGAGCCTCTATTTTCTCATTGACTGCACATGACCCTGACAGCCAGGAAAATGCACAGGTCACTTATTCTGTGACTGAAGACACCATCCAGGGAGCACCCTTGTCCTCCTATGTCTCCATCAACTCCAACACTGGTGTCCTGTATGCATTGCGCTCCTTTGATTATGAGCAGATCCAAGACTTGCAGTTACTGGTAATTGCCAGTGACAGTGGAGACCCATCACTTAGCAGCAATGTGTCACTAAGCCTATATGTGCTAGACCAGAATGACAACGTGCCTGAGATCCTGTACCCAACCCTCCCCACTGATGGCTCCACTGGTGTGGAGCTGGCTCCCCGCTCAGCAGAGCCTGGATATCTGGTGACCAAAGTGGTGGCAGTGGACAGAGACTCAGGACAGAATGCCTGGCTGTCCTACCGCCTGCTCAAGGCCAGTGAGCCAGGACTCTTCTCAGTGGGGCTGCACACTGGTGAGGTGCGCACAGCAAGAGTCCTGCTGGATAGAGATGCATTCAAGCAGAGTCTCATAGTAACTGTCCAGGACCATGGCCAGCCTCCCCTCTCAGCCACAGTCACACTTACTGTGGCAGTGGCCAACAGCATCCCTGAAGTCTTGGCAGACTTGAGCAGCATCAGGACGCCTGGGGTCTCAGATGATTCAGACCTCACACTCCACCTGGTGGTGGCAGTGGCTGTTGTCTCCTGTGTCTTCCTTGCTTTTGTCATTGTGCTGCTGGCACTCAGACTTCAGCGTTGGCAAAAGTCTCGAATGCTCCAGGCCTCTGGAGGTGGACTGACAGGTGTGCACCCCTCACAATTTGTGGGCATTGATGGGACACAAGCTTTTCTTCAGACCTATTCCCACAAGGTCTCCCTCACTGCAGGCTCTCAAACAAGCCATGTTATCTTTCCTCAGCCTAACTATGCAGATATGCTCATTAGCCAAGAGAGCTATGAGAAAAATGATTCTTTGTTAACATCCATAGATTTTCATGAGTGTAAAGATGAAGTTGCTCAGGTGAGTTCAGTTCTTTTTTTACTTTTATATTTCAAAAGAATTTTATTTTATCTAAATGTATGCATTTTGAGATGTTTTGAAGATGGTTGAAGGTAATTTTTAAGGCATGCCACCAAGTTTGGGGTATGTGGTGATATTACAAAATTGAACTCTGAGGCTTGGATATGGATTAGTGGTAGAGTATTTGTCTAGCCTCTATGAGGCCTCAGGTTCTTCATTCCCAACATCACACACACACACACACACACACAAAATTGAACTTGAACGTCATAGGTTGTTTCATTTGCTTTCAATTGTTCAACCTTCATTTGCTTTCAATTGTTCAATCTTTTTATTCCTTTCACTATATTACTCCTATTATCACTCATTCAGTTAAGAATTAGTTAGCCACCTACACACAGTTAATATATTCTAAGATATATTATATATAATGATTGTCTTTAGCCTATACCTAGACTCTTGAATATTTATTCACTTTAAATATCTTTTGAACTCTGATTCTGCATCTGGGCCCATCAAAGCTTTACTACTTCTTACTGTATTTAAAACATAAACACATCTGACAGGGTAGATCTTGGTGGGAGGTAAGACTGATTCATAAATGTTAAGTGTTTGGTAATAGTCACCCTTTCCTGAGTCTATACCAATGGAAATATGGAATCTAAAGCCTGGGATGAGCCTTTTCCAAAAGTGAAAGAACAAAAAGTGAAAGCATCAAAATCAAATCTGAAATAAAACATTCCTTTAAACTACAGAGAGTGGATTTTGTAAAATACAGAAGAACATATTTCAATAGAGTTCCAAAGAGCTTTTTAGGTTGTATTTCCATATAAAATGATGGAAATTTTTAAAAATTTTAAAAACAAAACTTTCTTGTACACAAATTAAAAATGATTCCATCTGGACTAAACATCTTCTATATTCCTTCTTATAGCATCCAAAAAAAAAAAAAAAAAACACCTATGCCCTGATTTGATCAAAAGATGTAGATGTGATGAATCTTTTTTTTTTTTTTTTGAAGTGCTGGAGATTAAACCAGATCCTTGTACATGCTACAAAAGAGCTCTACATCCCCAGCCCAAGATAAATCTTTTGTTATTGTTATTTAAAAAGCTATTTTCCTATGGTTATGCAGCGTTCCATCCTGTGTCACATATATATCAAGGTGGGAGTTAACTTCCTACTCTCTGTAGCATCTGGGTCCACAGTGATTTCATGAGACAACTATATTACTGACATTTTGCAATTTAATAGAGGGTAAGGAAAGTTGTCCTTATAGAAAAAAACCTTTGCTTTCCTTAAAGATGTTGTTTTAAAACATTGAACAAAGGGAGTAAAAGGTTAGAAAAATGTCACTAATTTCAGTAAATTTATGTAAATAAACTTACCATGAATTAAATTTCTCCAATTCTGAAATAATTACTTTAGTATAATGCAGGTACATAGATAGGGAAATAATGCAGTCTGTTAGAATATCCCTTTGTGACTTTATAATGCAGAATAGTTCCCTCAGTAAATTTTAATAATGAATTAATGGCCCATCCAAGTGGTGCATGCCTGCAATCCCAGTTGCTCAGGAGGCTGAGGCAAAAGGCCTGCAAGTTTGAGGCCAGCCTCGGCAAATTAGTAAGACTTTGTCTCAAAATAAAAAATAAAAATAGGGGTGGGGTTGTGGCTCAGAGGTAGAGTGCTCACCTAGCATGTGTGAGGAACTGGGTTTGATCCTTAGCATCACATAAAAATAAAATAGAGATTGTGTCCACCTATAATTAAAAAATAAATGTTTTAAAAATAAAAATAGCTGGATGTAGCTCAGTGATAGAGGATCCCTGAGTTTAATCTCTAGTGCCCCCCAAAACAAATGAATCACAACTTTGCAAAATTAGTTTTCAAAAGTATTGCTATTCCTGAATATATATATATATATATATATATATATATATATAAAATATGAAACAGTACCAATTGCCTAAAATGGAGAATCATGGGAATCGATGCAAGAAGAAAAAAAATAGTTTCAACATATTATAGCTACAAAAGAAAAATGAATTTGTAAAATCAGTAGACTTTAAAGTCTGAGGGCAAGATCCCTGCCTTATTCATTATTGTATTGTAACTCACAAGGGCAATACTTGGCTTTAGATAAGAATTCAATATATGTGGAATGATCTAAGAATGGAGATATACAATGTGCTGCTTCCAACCATTTGAAAACAAGAGGAAAGATACTTGAAAGAGGGCTTTACAATATGTGGTAAATATATTGACATAAATGGCTGGGGTTGTGGCTCAGTGGTAGAGCGCCTGCCTAGCACGTGTGGGTTAGATCCTCGGCACCACATAAAAATAAATAAACAAAATAAAAATATTATATGTGTGTATACGTATATATACATAAAAAATGGCTTATTTAGACAGACTACTGGTTAAACTGAAACAGCACAGGCTGCAGTTTCACCCTGTGGACTCTGGGCGCCGCTGTTGTCCAAAGAGGAGAGCTTGGAGCTCACCATCTCCTCGCGCAACCGCAGCGCGCTTTCCAGAGCAGCTCTATGTGACTCTTCAGTGCCAGCCATTACACCGCTACTTCCCACGGAAAAAGAAGAGTATTTTTTTCTGGACTGGATCTGGAACTAAGTCCTTTCGGAGCTCCGAATATCTGCATTACGGAGATCATTCGTACTCCAGAGTCTCCTGACTGGTGAGCAAGCAGAGGGGAGCAAGAGGGATGGGGAGCGGCACTGCGGAGAGGGGCCAGACTCACAGGCGGCCAGTGCTCCTTCCCTTCCTACTGTCTTTGTTCTGCCGGGCGCTCTCTGAGCAGATCCGCTACAGGATTCCCGAGGAAATGCCCATGGGCTCGGTAGTGGGAAACCTCGCCAAGGACCTAGGGTTCCATGTCCTGGAGTTACCGACTCGAAAACTGCATATCAGTTCAGAGAAGTCTTACTTCACTGTGAGCTCAGAGACAGGGGAACTGCTTGTGAGCGGCAGGCTAGACAGGGAGCAGATATGCGGGAGGCAGCCAGTTTGTGCTCTGGATTTTGAGGCTGTTGCTGAAAATCTATTGAACTTTTACCACGTGAGTGTGGAGATCGAGGACATTAATGATCACGCGCCAAAATTTGCGTATGTTTTCTTTGATCTGCAAATAAGTGAGTCTGCTCAGCCAGGCACACGATTTATATTAGAAGTAGCAGAAGATGCAGATATTGCATTAAACTCTCTACAGAATTATAAACTCTCTCCAAGTCCTAATTTCTCACTGATAAATAAAGAGAAACAAGATGGTAGTAAATACCCGGAAATGATATTGGAGAAAACCTTAGACCGGGAACAACAGAGTTTCCATCGTTTAATCCTGACTGCCTTGGACGGTGGAAATCCACCCCTAAGTGGCACCACTGAACTACGGATTCAGGTCACTGATGCCAATGACAATCCCCCTGTATTCAACCAAGAAGTGTACAGAGTCAGCCTTCGGGAAAATGTGCCTCCAGGCACCGCTGTACTGCAAGTGTCAGCCATCGACCAGGATGAGGGAATCAACTCAGAAATTACTTATTCTTTCTACAGAACTGGGCAAGTCTTTAGTATAAATTCAAAGAGTGGGGAAATTACGACTCAAAAGGTACTGGATTTTGAAGACACTAAAGAATATTCTCTCTTAGTAGAAGGGCGGGATGGTGGAGGACTGGTCTCACAATGTACTGTTGAAATTAACATTCAAGATGAAAATGACAATAGCCCAGAAGTTACATTTCATTCTCTGCTTGAAATGATTTTAGAAAATGCAGTACCTGGAACACTAATTGCTTTGATCAAAATCCATGATCAAGATTCTGGGGAAAATGGGGAGGTTAATTGTCGATTAGAAGGTGAAGTCCCATTTAAAATAATCTCTTCATCTAAAAATTCTTATAAGTTGGTAACGGACAGGAACTTGGACCGAGAGCTGACCCCGGAGTACAATGTCACCATCACTGCCATTGACAGGGGCAAACCGCCCCTTTCCTCCAGCATATTGGTCACTTTAAACATTGGAGACGTCAATGATAATGCTCCAATTTTCCACCAGGCCTCCTATGTAGTCTATGTAGCAGAAAACAACCCTCCTGGAGCCTCCATCGCTCAAGTCAGCGCCTCCGACCCAGACTTGGGGCCCAACGGCCAAGTCTCCTACTCCATCGCGGCCAGTGACCTGGAGCCTCGGGCATTGTTATCCTACGTGTCTGTGAGCGAACAGAGCGGCGTGGTGTTCGCACAGCGAGCCTTCGACCACGAGCAGCTGCGATCCTTTGAGCTGATTCTGCAGGCTCGTGACCATGGTTCGCCCGCGCTCAGCGCCAACGTGAGCCTGCGCGTGTTGGTAGGCGACCGCAACGACAACGCGCCGCGGGTGCTCTACCCCGCGCTGGCGCCCGATGGCTCAGCGCTCTTCGACACTGTGCCGCGCGCCGCGGAGCCCGGCTACCTGGTCACCAAGGTGGTGGCGGTGGACGCTGACTCTGGACACAATGCCTGGTTGTCCTACCACGTGCTGCAGGCCAGCGACCCCGGACTCTTCAGCCTGGGGCTACGCACTGGCGAGGTGCGCACTGCTCGCGCCTTGGGCGACAGGGACGCAGCCCGCCAGCGCCTGTTGGTCGCTGTGCGTGATGGTGGCCAGCCGCCTCTTTCGGCCACCGCCACGCTGCATCTGGTCTTCGCGGACAGCCTGCAGGAGGCACTGCCAGACCTCAGTGACCGCCCTTTGCCCCCTGACCCGCAGGCGGAGCTACAGTTCTACCTGGTGGTGGCCTTGGCCTTGATCTCAGTGCTCTTCCTCCTGGCAGTGATTTTGGCTATTGCCCTGCGCCTGAGGCACTCCTCCAGCAATGAGTCTTGGGGCTGCTTTCAACCTGGAATGTGCGCCAAGCCTGGACCTGTGATTCAGCCCAACTATAGTGAGGGAACTCTGCCTTACTCCTATAATCTCTGCGTTGCACATACGGGAAAGACAGAGTTTAATTTCCTACAAAGTAATGATCCACTGAGTTTAGGACAAAACATACTCTGTAGTGAGTCACCAGGAACTTTGTTTCCACTTTGTAATTCCAGTGAGTCAACTTGCCATCCTGAAGCTCTAGCACCGGTGAGTTCCATTTAAGTTTTTAAAACTTTTCATCATCCATCCATTTTCTGTATTAACATGGAAATACTGTATATTTTCAGATCTATTGAGTTGTCTTTGGAAGTTATAATTTCTGTTCCTCAAAGAAATTGTGAAGAATTGAATTATGGGTGGTTGAGTTATGAGTGCTTATAAAATATAATACAGATTCCAGGGAATATTAAAAGGTTACAGGATTTACAAAGTATGAGAGTGAGCTCTTAATAATTTGGCAAAAAGATTGGACATAGTTTCTCACTTCTGTCAAAGCTAATAATGTTTACCCATTGATTGTCATCCTTTAGCATATATTTAAATATTATGTAAATATGAAATTTAGAGTAGAAAATCATTTAATTCATTCTTTTTTTCTAAATTTTTTTAGTTGTAGATGGACACAACATCTTTATTTTATTTATTTATTTGTTTGTTTATTTATTTATGTGGTGCTGGGGATCAAACCCAGTGCCTCATCCCTGCGAGGCAATTGCTCTACCTCTGAGCCACAACCACAGACCCTAATTCATTCTTTAAAGACACAGCTAATGATATCTTCCTTTGCCAAGTTTACTGAAAGATTCCATTCCTTTGTATTGTTTATTTCTCATGTCTAGTTCCTTTATATTTATGGTTCTTTGACTTCACATTAAATGCATGAAAAATGCTACATGTGTTTGTGTGTATGAAAGAGACTCACTTAAATCATAAGCTCCAAGTCATTAAATTCTTTCAGATTTTGTTGGATGCAAAATCCTAAGGAAAAAAAATGTACTTCCTTGTTAGAGTACTTGCCTAGCATACATGAGGCCCTGGGTTTGATTCCCAGCACCACAAAAAGAAAAAGAAAAAAAAGTGTAATGTCTAGATGGAGGATGGAAATGGAAACTGGCTCTATCCTATGTGTTCGTTTGAATCTTCCAAATGCCATATCTGTATATGTATCATGTATTCACATAGAAAGCTAAACTTTTTTGAAATAGAAGAAAAGTTTGAATAATCGCAAAAATGTGGATCTTAAAAACCACAGTCCTGGGGCTGGGGATATGGCTCAAGCAGTAGTGCGTTCGCCTGGCATGCCTGCGGCTGGGGTTCGATCCTCAGCACCACATACAAAGATGTGCCCGCCGAAAACCTAAAAAATAAATATTAAAAAAAACACAATCCTATTAAACTTTAGCAATATTAGGGAAAAAATCTATAATTATTGCCTAGTGAAAATTATTTTTATGCTGGGTATGGTTTTTCATACCTGTGATCACAGGTAGTCAGCAAGCTGAGCCATAGAATCACAAATACAAGGTCAACCTTAGCAACTTAGCACTATCTTGTCTCAAAATAACAAATAACCAGGGTAAATAAATGATTTGATATGAAAAAAATAAAAGGGGCTGGAGATGTAGCTCAGTGGTAAAAGCATCTCTGGGTTCAATCCTCAGTACCACCCCCCCAAAAAAAAAATGTTTTCATGACACAAGTTTTAGAAGAAGCTTTTCTTCAGGAACTTTACCATCAACCTAAATTAACTTTATAAAATAATTTCAATGTGATTAATCAGTTCATATATATTCATTCAATATAATGATATGATATACATCTATAAATAGATAACACAAGTTTAAAATTAAGAAAAATATGAATATATGAACATATTTCCAAAGAGAACTACATATCATTACTTCTGCAGACTAACAGATATATAGAAAATAAATTAAGAATCATAAAAAATAAACTACAAGAATTTACATATCTATATTGTGTGTAGAATTCTACCAAAAACAAAGAAAGTTAGGTTGATACTAATATTTTTTAAAAGCTGGTGATTTTATACTTAATGAAATTTCATTCCATTTCATTTACAACTCAAATAACACAAATGGTAATGCTTTTCAAATGTGAATGCTAGAAACAATTTCAAAAGTCCAAAATCAAATGAGAAAAGAGAATTCTTAGACTATGATTAAATTTTGCATATCTCGCGGTGCCCGGGGGCACACGCCTGCAGTCCTAGATACTCTGGAAGCTAAGGCAGCAGTATCACATGAGCCCAAAAGGAATTCAAGACCAGTCTGAGCAATACGGCAAGAACATATCTCAAAAATAAAGGAATATTTTAAAGTTGAATATCTCGGTGTAGTAACGAGTTAGGACTCTGAGCGCCGCTGTTCGCCAACTTTGGAAACTCCGCTCCTTTCAGATCTTTACACAAAGCCCCGCCTATCCCACAAACTGGCTCCCGAGCTGCAACGAAACTCAATCTCTTATTTCGGGGGCACTCCGGCATTCTCCTGAGGAAAAAGATCACCAGATGGTGGAGGAGGAAGAGAAGAATCTAATGCGTCAGTGTACACGGTAAGCATTCTGAGAGAATTCAGTAGCAAGGCAACAATGGCAGCTCCAACCAAACGCCAGCCTTGCAGAAGACTGGTCCTGCTGTGCGTGCTCCTGAGGACGCTGTGGGAGGCCAGGGCCAGTCAAATCCGCTACTCGGTGCCCGAGGAAAGAGAAAAGGGCTATAATGTGGGGAATATCTCCAAGGACTTGGGACTGGAAACCCGGGAGCTGGCAGATCGCGGAGTCCGAATTGTCTCCAGAGGTAGGACGCAGCTTTTCTCTTTGAATCCACAAAGCGGCAGCTTAATCACTGCGGGCAGGATAGACCGGGAGGAGCTCTGCGCCCAGAGCGCACGGTGTCTGGTGCACTTTAAAGTCTTGGTTGAAGACAGCGTAAAACTTTACGGAATAGAAATAGAAGTGCGTGATATCAACGACAATGCACCAAAATTTGAGGCTGAAAATCTGGAAGTAAAAATTAATGAACTTGCTGCTCCTGGAGCTCGGTACCCACTCCCAGAAGCCATTGACCCGGATGTGGGCGTGAACTCCCTGCAGAGCTACCAGCTCACCCCCAGTCACCACTTCTCCCTGGACGTGCAAACTCGAGACGATGGAACCTTAAACCCGGAGCTGGTGCTGGAGCACACTCTGGACCGAGAGGAAGAGGCTGTTCACCACCTGGTCCTCACCGCCTCGGATGGCGGCGACCCACGTCGCTCTAGCACAGTGCGCATCCAGGTGACAGTGCTGGATACAAACGACAATGCCCCAGTGTTTGCTCAACCGATTTACAGAGCCAAAGTCCTTGAGAACGTGCCACCAGGCACCCTATTGCTTACAGTAAGAGCTAGCGACCCGGATGAGGGAGCCAACGGAAAAGTGACATATAAATTCCGGAAAATCAATGAAAAACAATCTCCCATATTCCAGCTTAATGAAAATACTGGGGAAATATTTGTAGCAAAAAGTCTAGATTATGAAGAATGTTCATTTTATGAAATGGAAATACAGGCTGAAGATGGTGGTGGATTGAAAGGGCGAACCAAAGTGCTAATTATGGTGGAAGATGTAAATGACAATAGACCCGAAGTGACCATTACATCTCTATTTAGTCCAGTGAGGGAAGATGCTCTTCAGGGAACAGTTATCGTTCTTTTCAATGCACACGACCAAGATTCTGGGAAGAATGGTCAGGTTTTCTGTTCCATCCAGGAGAATCTGCCTTTTAAATTAGAAAATTCAATAGAAGATTATTACAGGTTGTTGACAGCCCAAATTCTTGATAGAGAAAAAGCCTCTGAGTATAACATCACAGTGACAGCCACAGACAGAGGAATGCCACCCCTATCTACGGAAATTCACATCACCCTGTATGTGACTGATATCAACGACAATCCACCTGCCTTTTCTCAAGCCTCCTATTCTATCTACCTTCCGGAAAACAACCTCAGAGGCACCTCCATCTTCTCAGTAACTGCCCAAGACCCTGATAACAATGAAAATGCTAGGGTTACATACTCCTTGGTGGAGGATACCATCCAGGGAGCTCCTCTCTCTTCCTATGTATCCATTAACTCTGAAACTGGTGTGTTGTATGCACTGAGATCATTTGACTATGAGCAGTTTCGAAATCTTCCAATACAGGTAAGGGCAAGTGACAACGGGAACCCACCACTCAGCAGTAACGCATCACTGAGCCTTTTTGTGCTGGACCAGAATGATAACACCCCTGAGATCCTGTACCCCACCCTCCCCACTGATGGTTCCACTGGGGTAGAGCTGGCACCCCGCTCTGCAGAGCCTGGATACCTTGTGACCAAGGTGGTAGCAGTGGACAGAGACTCAGGACAGAATGCTTGGCTGTCTTACCACCTGCTCAAAGCTAGTGAGGCAGGGCTCTTCTCTGTGGGGCTGCACACAGGTGAGGTGCGTACAGCAAGGGCTCTTCTGGATAGAGATGCTATAAAGCAGAGCCTTGTGGTGGCTGTGCAGGACCATGGCCAGCCACCTCTCTCAGCCACTGTCACATTCACTGTGGCTGTGGCTGAGAGTATCCCCAATATCCTGGCTGACCTGGGCAGCATGGAGATCCCTGCAGATTCCAGAGATTCCGACCTCACGCTCTACCTGGTCGTGGCAGTGGCTGCTGTCTCCTGCGTCTTCCTCACCTTTGTCCTTATTCTGCTGGGGCTCAAGTTTCGGCGATGGCATTCCTTGCATCTGCTACAGGCTGAAAATGGTGGGTTGACTGGTCTGCCCACCTCACACTTTGTGGACGTGGAGGGGGTGCAGGCTTTCCTGCAGACCTGTTCCCAGGAGTTTTCTCTCACAGCTGACTCTAGAAAGAGCCACATTATCTTTCCCCAACCCAACTATGCAGACATGCTCATCAGCCAGGAGAGCTGTGAGAAAAAGGAGACTTTGTGCCATTCACTTGATTCCAAGTTTCCTATAGAAGACACTCCTTTGGTTCCCGTGAGTTGGATTTTTTTTTTTCTTTACTGTCTGTAACTACTTTCTCATTAACTGTTCTTATTTGAGGTAGCACAGATTGATATTAATGTTTCTCACCCTTTATATTTTCACTGAGCATGATTTTGCCCAACCATATAAAGGAGGCATTAATTGGTTGCATCATTGATGTAATTTTCACTTTTTCATAATAATTATCCTAGTATCAAAGAAACCGTTCTTCATGGGGCAGCTGTCATTGGCCTGCAGGGGTGTGGGCTATTGAGGTGATATTGCTTGATTGGTTATAATAGTTCACTACTAATTCTCTAGCTGGATTTCTCTTCCTGAAATTTATTAAGTATTTTCATCTCCAGTGTCCCCATTGTGAAAACCTTATCCCTAAAACCATTTCTACTGTGATACTATGTTGTAAAGGTAAATTAATTAATTTTCTTGGAGGAAACAGCTGAAATCCCAGGTTTACTGCTTCCACTCTTCTTTTTCTATGATGGGAAACCACCCCCATTGAGCTGTTGTTTTTTAGATCATAAGTGTGTAGAGAATGTATTTAAAGATCTTTTCTGAGGAAGATCCAAACTTCAGTTATTTATTTCCAAACCATAACAAAGCATTTTTTTATTCCTTTAATGGTGAAAATTGTGTCATCCTCTATTCTATATACTCAAATAATTTCTTAATGCTATAGAGTCAAATTATGAAGAGTAGTTTGACACTCTTCTTTCCTATAGTATATGCTTGCTCAAGAGAAGTTTCTAACTGAACACAGTGAAATGACCAAGTAAAAGGAATTAAAAAGTATTCTTCAGCTCTATCTAACTTCTGGCTTAATTCTCCAAACTTTAAGACTAGAAGTGAACCTGAATAGGGGATATAAGTTAGAAAAATATTCTCAGAAAATGCTAGGGAGATTCTAGAAATATTTTACTGGGTTTTAGCTATAAGGAAACGAACATATTATTTAGTATAATTTTAAACATAATGTCAACTTTCAAGTAGTAAATCACATTCAGGAGACTATTTGAAAATGAACTTTGAAATGGACTCAAGATTCTATTCTAAATATGTGATCCATAAATACATAGATAACTGCTACTATTTCTATGGAATTAGAGAACCATTTTTGTCTCTGTAATGAATTTTTCAAATTTCTATTGTTTCCTAAGAAGAAAGTAACTAATATGCTAGAAATCCATAACAACATACAGACATTTTAATTATTTCACTTTTTTCCTTCACCTACTAAAGAAAAGTCAAACGTCATTCAGGTCATATTTTTAACCATGGAATAGGAAAATCATCCCCTTAATTTTCTGATAGGCCACAAAGCAACTCTTAGCTAATAAAAAAAAGATATTGACATAATTCCTTGCATCTTATCACATCATAATGGAATGAAATTAGAAATCAACACAACAAAACCCTACAGAAACTATATAAACCCATGGAATTGAACAATACACTTCTGAATAGTGAATGAATGACAGAAGAAATCAAATGAGAAATTAAATTTCCATCTGGGGGTAGCCTTGATATCAAGTGCTCATCAATATTTTAAAATGTGTGTTGTCAGATGTGGTGGTACAGGCCTGTAATCCTATGATTTAGGAGTCTGAGGCAGAAGGATCACAAATTCAAGACCAGCCTCAGCAATTTAGTGAGATGTATCTCAAAATAAAAAATAAAAGGGGCTGGGATGTAGCTCTGTTGTAGAGCACCCCTGGATTCAATCCTTGATACAAAAAATAAAGAAATAAAATGCATGTTTACTTGAGAAAATACAATAACAGATATATTGATATATATATCATGGTAGGTAACTACTCTTCTGTGCCACAAATATGTCACCTGCCTTGTAAAACAGAAGATAAGGCTCACCAGATAGATGACTACTAGGCAGAGAATGGAAAATGCTGAATTCTAGTTTTCTTAAACTAGACTAGTTACTTAAACTAGACTAGTTTTGTTGAAGTAGACTAGTTTTCTTGCACTAGATTAATTCACTTATGATTTATTTCCATCTATAATCTAGTAACAGCTTGAGAACATAATAGGCTGAAAGATAACAATTCTCAAATGTAATGCCTCATCTAGAAGAAATGACGTCTAGAAGAAATGCTAATTGAAATGACGTTTGGGATTTACTTTAGAGTAATTGGGGAGTGAAGTATATATTTACAAAAGATTGGCCTCAATGTTAATCTTTGTTGAAACTGGATGATAGGTATATATGAAAGTCCACAATATAATACATAATACTACCTGTTGTATAAGTTTGAAAGTATTCGGAATAAATTGATTTAAAACACTAAATATGTAAGTATACAATGTAATAGCTGCGTTTTCAAAAAGAAACGCACATATTTTGGAAATAAAGAATTCAAAAGAAGACAGTCTGCAGTTCCAAATGCAGCCTCTGGGCGCCGCTGTCGGCCAGTGCAGAGCAAGCTCCAACGCCCGGGATCCCTCAATCTCTTGCCTGGGATTTCCTGCGCAGCCACCAACACACAGAAGCAACCCCTCTCACTCCTGGAGAATACACGCACAGATTCCCATCCCCGAAACTGGGCTCCGCCTGTCCTGGACCGAATACTCTTCCAGCGTGGTAGATAACTTCCTCTCCCAGCTGCGAAGTGGGGGATCCAGTGAAAAAACACCCGAGTAAGTGAGTGAGTGATGGGAGGGAGCTGCGCGCAGAGGCGACGCGCCGGCCGCGGGCAGGTACTGTTTCCCTGGCTGTTGCCTTTGTTCTATTCGGCACTCGGAGAGCCGATCCGCTACTCCATTCCCGAGGAGCTGGCCAAGGGCTCGGTGGTGGGGAACCTCGCCAAGGATCTGGGGCTCAGTGTCCTGGATGTGTCAGCTCGGAAGCTGCGAGTTAGCGCAGAGAAGCTGCACTTCAATGTAGACGCGCAGAGTGGGGACTTGCTTGTGAAGGACCGAATAGACCGGGAGCAGATATGCAAAGAGAGGAGAAGATGTGAGCTGCAGTTGGAAGCTGTGGTGGAAAATCCTTTAAATATTTTTCATGTCGTTGTGACGATTGAGGATATTAATGACCATGCTCCTCAATTCGATAAAAAGAAAATAGACTTAGAAATTTTTGAGTCTGTATCCACTGGTGCACGGATATCCCTTGACCCTGCCACTGACCCCGATATAAACTTTAACTCAATTAAAGATTATCAGATAAACCCTAATCCTTATTTCTCATTAATAGTTAGAGTTAATTCTGATGGTGGCAAATATCCAGAATTATCTCTGGAGAAACTCCTAGACAGGGAAGAGCAGAGGTTACATCGCTTGATATTGACTGCCTTGGATGGAGGAGACCCGCCGCGAAGTGCCACCGCTCAAATAGAAATCTTTGTAAAGGACACTAATGACAATCCCCCAGTGTTCAGTAAAGATGAATATAGAATCAGTCTTAGTGAAAATCTGCCCCCAGGGTCCTCCGTGTTGCAAGTGACAGCCACTGATGCGGATGAGGGGGTAAATGCAGAAATAAACTACCACTTCCGGAGCACCGCCCAGAGCACAAGACACATGTTCTCATTGGATGAGAAAACAGGTATGATTAAGAATAACCAATCACTGGATTTTGAAGATGTAGAGAGATACACCATGGAAGTGGAAGCAAAGGACGGCGGTGGCCTTTCTACCCAATGTAAAGTAATCATAGAAATCCTAGATGAAAACGACAACAGTCCAGAAATCATCATCACTTCTCTGTCTGATCAGATTTTGGAGGATTCCCCTCCAGGAATGGTTATTGCCCTTTTCAAAACACGGGACCGGGATTTTGGAGGAAATGGAGAAGTCACATGTGATATAGAAAGAGACCTTCCTTTCAAGATCTATTCTTCTTCTAATAACTATTACAAGCTGGTGACTGATGGAGTCCTAGATCGAGAGCAGGATCCAGAATACAATGTCACCATCATCGCCACCGACGGGGGCAAGCCTCCCCTTTCTTCAAGTGTAAATATCACCCTGCACATCATTGACGTCAACGACAACGCTCCGGTTTTCCAGCAGGCGTCTTACGTGGTTCACGTGGCTGAGAACAACCCGCCAGGGGCCTCAATAGCTCAAGTCAGCGCCTCAGATCCCGACTTAGGTCCCAACGGCCAAGTCTCCTACTCCATCGCGGCCAGCGACCTGGAGCCTCGGGCATTGTTATCCTACGTGTCTGTGAGCGAACAGAGCGGCGTGGTGTTCGCACAGCGAGCCTTCGACCACGAGCAGCTGCGTTCTTTTGAGCTGATTCTGCAGGCTCGTGACCATGGTTCGCCCGCGCTCAGCGCCAACGTGAGCCTGCGCGTGTTGGTAGGCGACCGCAACGACAACGCGCCGCGGGTGCTCTACCCCGCGCTGGCGCCCGATGGCTCCGCGCTCTTCGACACCGTGCCGCGCGCCGCGGAGCCCGGCTACCTGATCACCAAGGTGGTGGCGGTGGACGCGGACTCGGGACACAATGCTTGGCTATCCTACCACGTGCTGCAGGCCAGTGATCCCGGACTCTTCAGCCTGGGCCTGCGCACTGGCGAGGTGCGCACGGCTCGCGCCTTGGGCGACAGGGACGCGGCCCGCCAGCGCCTGTTGGTCGCTGTGCGTGATGGTGGCCAGCCGCCTCTTTCGGCCACCGCCACGCTGCATCTGGTCTTCGCGGACAGCCTGCAGGAGGTACTGCCAGACCTCAGTGACCGCCCTGTGCCCCCTGACCCCCAGGCGGAGCTACAGTTCTACCTGGTGGTGGCCTTGGCCTTGATCTCAGTGCTCTTCCTTCTGGCTGTGATTCTGGCCATTGCCCTGCGCCTGCGATCTTCTTTGAGTCCAACTGAGTGGGGTTGTTTTCAGCAAGGTCTCTGCTCCAAGTCCGAACCTAGAGTTCCCTTCAACTACAGCGAAGGAACTTTGCCTTATTCCTACAATCTGTGTGTTGCGCATATGGGAACGACAGAGTTTAATTTCCTAAAAAGTACTTCACCCTTGCATTCCGCCCAAGATGTAGTTGGCGGTAATTCCCCTGGGGCCTTAATTCCAGTTCCTGTTGAGGATAATTTGACTTCACATCCTGAGACTCTAACACCGGTGAGTTTCACATTTGTGTCTTTAATGTCCTAGTTTTTCATTTTCACATCTAGGATCATATTTGAAAAATCTCTAGCTTATATCATCTTATCGTCTCTGTTTACCTTTTGACAATTATATCTTTTAAGACTTATTTGGTTTATAAGTCACTCTATCATATATATATATATATTTCCATCCCCATACTGGAGATAATCTCGTGGAACTCTGATTAGCAAACAGAAGCAGTACTCTTGGCTTGTAACCAAATAAATAACCCATCTATACAAATTTGCTATTTAAAAGTAAATTTTTCCATATTCTGTAATGTTTCAGTGCTTGAAAATATTCAGGTATACATCAAATTTTAGAACAGGTGTTGCTTTTCTGGAACCATTTATTGCAAATAATCTTGTAGGTGACTATTGATGTCTCTCTTCATTTATTCTAATATTTTTTTCCAACTGTAAGCATCTGAGGGACAATAGCCAGCAGATAACTGAACTCTCTAAAATTATATGCAAAGTTATAAATGTCTTCATTTTTCTTGGGAGGACATTCAAAGCTTTGTTCATATTTCTAAGATTTCTATGCCCCCCCAAAAACTTAACTATCATAGAGGGATATTTCTCTTCTACTTTTGGTCCTGCTGTATTTCTTCCATAATTATGGTCTTTAGCTTTTCTTGGAGCCCAAATTGTACTCTTTCTCAATCTCTTTTTTCTTACATTGCAAAATAAAGAAATTTCCAAGGAAGAGCTGGGTATGATGAGGAATGCTTGAAATCCTAGCCAATCAGGAGGCTGAGGCAGGAGGATCACAAATCTGAGGTCAGCCTGGGCAATTTAAAATTGATGATGATAATAATAATAATAATGGGCTGGGAATGTAGCTCAGGGGTGAAGTTCCCTTCAGTTCAATCCCCAGTACTGAAAAAGAATGAGAAGGAAAAAGGAAGGAAAAGAAAAAGAATACATAGAAAGAAATTTCTAAGAAAGCAAATGAAATGCTATTATTACATTTTGGTCTCAGTCTCTGTCTCTGAATTAAGAACTTTGAGGGGGGGGGGGAGACAAAATCTATTCTGAAGAGGTCCATACTTGGGGATGTAGTAACATAAATAACATAAATATCTTTGAGCAACTTGTTTTCTGTATGAAAGAAGTGAGTCACTAAGTTCTTCACATTTGAGGAAAAAAACTGCTGCTGGGTTTGGGGGCATGCACAATTGAAAATATATGAACCACTTTCTTTGGGGTTCCATATGAACTGCCTAAGAGAAGAAATTATTTATACTAACACCAATGCCATTATGAAACGGATCATTTAGCGTAAATATTTATTTGTTAAAAACCTACATAGAGGGCTGGGATGGTGACTCAGTGCTAAAGTGCATGTGTGAAGCACTGGGCTCGATACTGAGCACCACATATAAACAAATGAATAAAATAAAGGTTCATCAACATCTAAAAAATAAAAATAAAAAATAAATAAAAATTTAAAAATCCTATATCAGAGCTGAGTATGTTAACTCACATCTGTAACTCCAGTGATTCGGGAGGCTTATGTAAAAGGATTGCAAGTTTAAAGAGAGTCTGAGCAACTTAGGAAGACCCTGTCTCAAAATAAAATAAAGAGGACTGGAGGTATGGCTCAGTGGTTGAGACTCTCTGAGTTAAATCCCGAGAGAGAGAGAGAGAGAGAGAGAGAGAGAGAGAGAGAGAGAAGAAGGAGGAGGAGGAGGAGGAGGAGGAGGAGGAGGAGGAGGAGGAGGAGGAGGAGGAGGAGGAGAAGGAGAAGAATGTTAGAGTCTTAAACAAGTCAAAATAACACCTGGCATTTTGCCAGGGGAATGTTAAAGTTCCTAAACAAGTCTGGATGGTGCCTGGCAAAATGCCAGAGGGAGTGGTTTGAGAAGTAACAAAAGCGAGCCATTAAGTGTGGAGATTCCTGATTGGTTGACTGCTGTATCTAGTTTATGCTAATTAGATAAGCTGTGTGAAATGTATAAATACTGCTCCTGTCCTGCAATAAACAGCTTCCACTCCTGCTGTATCAACGTACACAAGTTGTTCGTCACCCCCTGGTTATTCTGCTGCAGCCGGACTGCGGCAGAAGAAGAAGAAGAAGAGGAGGAGGAGGAGGAGGAGGAGGAGAAGAAAGAGAAACAAGGAGAATTTTTGGCAACCTCTCACACAGTCTTAAGCTAAACAAATTAACTAAATCTAAAATTTTAAAAATAACTTTCAAAGTCAATTATCTCACAAGAAGTATAATAGTCTTTATATGCATGTGTACTAAACATAATTGAACCATTTAAGTCACAACTTCAAGTAAAATTATAAGATTTTTCTGAATGTAACTGATTTCATAAGACATTAAAAAGCATTATTTACATTTTGAAGTGGGTATATACCTTACATTTTTTAAAAATGGGATAATGTGTTGCAACTATATATTAGCCAAACATCGTATAATATGCTATAGTATTTTCATTCCACTTTATCTCACCCCCATTAAGAAATCTATAAATAGAGATTGATTAAAGATATAAGCGGAGCAGAAATAGAGCACTTGTCTAGTATGTAAATCCTGTGTTCGAGTCCATGGGCGGGGTGGGGGGCAGCGGGAAATGATACCAACAGAAAAACCAAAGAATAAAAGAATCAATATATCCAACAGAGATACAGTAGCGTTTGCTAATATGTACACTAGTGGGTGCAGTAACTTCTTAGGACTCTGAGCGCCGCTGTTCACCTATTTGGAGAGAATCACAGCAAGCACTCAGTCGGTATTCTCACATCGCCAACTGCACAAAGCCCCACAATTCCTACAAACTGGCTCCTGGGCTGCAACAGAAACTCACTCCGGAATTTAAGGTGCGCAGGCTACAGAGAATCCCTGCCGTCACAGAAAGAACAAGGAACCAGTTGAAATATACAGAGGGTCCCGGGAGGACTTCAGGAGAATTTCGTAACCAGAGAACAATGGCTGCTGTGAGGAAGCTCTCCGACCACACCAAGCTGGTCCTCCTCTGCCTTTACCTGCAGATGCCCTGGGAGTCCGGAGCCCGGCAGATCCGCTATTCCGTTCCTGAGGAATTAGAGAAAGGCTCTTTCGTGGGTAACATCTCCAAGGACCTGGGACTGGAGCCCCGGGAGCTAGCGGAGCGCGGAGTCCGCATCGTCTCCAGAGGTAGGACGCAGCTTTTCTCTTTGAACCCGCGAAGCGGCAGCTTGGTCACCGCAGGCAGGATAGACCGGGAGGAACTGTGTGCTCAGAGCGCACGGTGTTTGGTGAATTTTAACATCCTTTTGGAAGATAGGGTGAAACTTTTCGGGATAGAAATAGAAGTAACGGATATCAATGATAATGCCCCAAAATTCCAAGCAGAAAATCTGGACGTAAAGATTAATGAAAACGTCGCTCCAGGAATGTGTTTTCCTCTCCCGGAAGCTATTGATCCGGATGTGGGCGTGAACTCACTGCAGAGCTACCAGCTCAGCCCCAATAAGCATTTCTCACTAGGAGTTCAGAGTCGTGCCAATGGCGTCAAGTACCCAGAGCTGGTGCTGGAGCACGCCCTAGATCGAGAAGAAGAGGCCATTCACCATATGGTTCTCACTGCTTCTGACGGAGGTAACCCTCTCAGATCAGGCACTGTCCTCGTCACTGTGACTGTATTTGATGCAAATGACAACGCACCGGTATTCACTTTGCCAGAGTATCGATTAAATGTTCCAGAGAATTTGCCTGTAGGCACTCAGTTGCTAACGGTCACCGCCACTGACAAGGATGAAGGAGCCAATGGAGAAGTAACCTATTCCTTTCGAAAATTACCTGACATACAATTGTCGAAATTCCAACTAAACAAAAATACTGGGGAAATTAAAATATCTGAAATTTTAGATTATGAAGAAACAAGCTTCTATGAAATAGAAGTACAGGCAGAAGATGGAGGAGCATATATTGCAACTGCAAAAGTGTTGATTACCATAGAAGATATAAATGACAACAGTCCAGAGGTGACCATCACATCTCTGTTTAGTCCAGTGACTGAAGATTCACCTCTAGGAACTGTCATAGCCCTTTTAAACGTGCATGATTTAGATTCTGGGCAGAATGGAGAGGTAACCTGTTCCATCTCAAGTAATCTACCATTTAAGTTAGAAAAGTCTATTGACAGTTATTACAGCTTGGTGACACACAGAGCCCTTGACAGGGAACAGGTATCCTTTTACAACATCACAGTAACAGCCACAGATGGTGGGAGTCCACCTCTGTCAACTGAAACTCACTTTACCCTGCAAGTGGCAGATATCAACGACAACCCACCAACCTTCTCTCACATTTCCTACTTTACCTATATCCCAGAGAACAACCCTATGGGTGCCTCCATCTTTTCAGTGACAGCCCTTGATCCAGACAGCAAAGAGAATGCCCAGGTCATTTACTCTCTGACTGAAGACACCATCCAAGGGGCACCACTATCCTCCTTTGTATCTATTAATTCAGACACTGGCATCCTGTATGCACTACGATCCTTTGACTATGAGCAATTTCGTGAGCTGAAGATGCAAGTGATTGCCAGTGACAGTGGGAACCCACCACTCAGCAGCAATGTGTCTCTGAGCCTATTCGTGCTGGACATGAATGACAATACTCCTGAGATCCTGTACCCTACCCTTCCCACTGATGGCTCCACTGGGGTAGAGCTGGCACCCCGCTCTGCAGAGCCTGGATACCTAGTGACCAAAGTGGTGGCAGTGGACAGAGACTCAGGACAGAATGCCTGGCTGTCCTACCGCCTGCTCAAGGCCAGTGAGCCAGGGCTTTTTGTGGTGGGGCTGCATACTGGTGAGGTGCGCACAGCAAGGGCCCTGCTAGACAGAGATGCTCTCAAGCAGAGCCTTGTGGTGGTTGTGCAGGACCATGGCCAGCCACCACTCTCATCCACCATCACCCTCACTGTGGCTGTAGCTGACAGCATTCCAGATGTTTTGGCTGACTTAAGCAGCCTTGAACCCCCACATGACCATGATGCTTCAGGCCTTACTCTCTACCTGGTGGTGGCCTTAGCTGCTGTCTCCTGTCTTTTTCTCACCTTCATCATCCTGCTGCTGGCACTCAGACTTTGGCGTTGGCACAAGTCTCACCTGCTCCAGACGGCAGGTGGAGGGTTAGCAGGTGTGCATACCTCTCACTTTGTGGATGTGGATGGGGTGCGCACTTTCCTGCAGACCTATTCCCATGAGGTCTCCCTGACTGCAGACTCACGGAAGAGCCACATTATCTTTCCCCAGCCCAACTATGCAGACACGCTTATCAGCCAGGAGAGCTGTGAGAAAAAGGATCCTTTGTCTTTGTTAGATGATTCAAAGTTTCCTATAGAAGATACTCCTTTGGTTCCAGTGAGTTCTATTTTTACTTTTGCTTTCCTTTAAGCAATTATGATTGGTTTTACCTTTAGGTTTTCAGTACAGTGATGTAAAATTTAAATCTTTATTTTAATTACTTTTCTCTCAGATTCAGTGACACTGGTCTCTTGCTAAAACATTAAAAGTAGAATTTGATGAGTAAGACTCATCAGCAAAGACTCAAAGTGTCATAAGTTTGTTATGATTAGCTTTGCAGGAACTTAAATTTTATAGTGTTGTTGAGTATAATACTGAAAATTTCTAAGACAGACTTCTATACAAAATGCTTTTCAATTTGTGTGTTTTCCTCAGTGGACAGAAGCTGAAAACCTGGCTCTTTAGACAACTCAAGCTCTTGATTTGTATGCAGGTCTGGTAAAAATAGGTAAATGTCAGAAACAAATGCATTACCCTAACTGGAAACACAAGCCAAGCCCAAGGTTATTCAGCATTGTTCTTCTCAGGGAGAAGGACAATGTGCCTTTGCAATTATGTTTTCCAAACTATACTTGTAGTAACAGTTATAGTTGAATACAGTCCTTAAAGATTTAAAGTTTTCTTAATATTCAGTTAAAATTCATAACAATGTGTGTTTAGGTTTTTCCAACTAAAATCAAACCTGTTAAGACTTTGGCATCTTTTTGCATTTGATTCTCTAATTTCATGTTGCTGTGTGGAAGATATACCTCTTAATTTGACTCTCCTTACTCAAGAGGGATTCTAAAGAGTCTATAGTGGGTTAAATAGAGAAGAGTTGTGGTTCTATTCTCTTTTCTTTTTAAAATTAGACATCCCAATCATTAAGGGTAAAACTAAATATGGTTTGAGGAGAGATAAATTTGTACATGTTCCCAAGAACAGGAGTAAAAGCTATGTTGACAAGGGTATTTCATTAACAAGGTAGGACTTGTTAATGTAGAGGAAGTTAAACATACCTGAAACTCTGAAACAAATTCAGAGTCAAAATAAGAGTAAAGAAAGAAATGTCATTTTTTTTCAGGATACCAGAAAATAAGCAAAGAAGTACACAAAATTCTTCCAAACAAATGATCAGGGGCTGGGGATGTGGCTCAAGCAGTAGCGCGCTCGCCTGGCATGCGTGCGGCCCGGGTTCGATCCTCAGCACCACATACAAACAAAGATGTTGTGTCCGCCGAGAACTAAAATAAATAAATAAATAAATATTTAAAAAAAAAAAAAAAAAAAAAAAAAAAAAAAAAAAAAAAAAAAAAAACAAATGATCAGTGGATGAATTAATTAGCACATTTAAATCAGTGATATAAGCTGGGTGTGATAATACATGCCTCTAATCCCAGTGACTCCGGAGATTGAGGGATAAAGGCCAGCCTCAGCAATTTAGTGAGACCCTAAGCAACTTAGTATCTATCTCAAAAATAAATAAATGAATAGGACTGGGATGTAGCTCAGGGTATAGCACTCCTGGTTTCAACCCCAACTATAAAACAAAACAAAGATAATGATGTATTTTGTTTACTCTCTTTAATTACTAATACTCTGCTAACTTGATGTCATAAAAATCAGAATGTTCTAAAATGTCTCAACTATTTATGAGACCATGACTTTTTTGTGTCAATCAGCATTTGGTTAATTATAGGTCTGTGGGAAGCTGAGCACACTCTCTAGGGTAATAATTATTAACTGTGAAATCATTGAAACTATTAAGTTTCTGTCCATGGGAGTCAAATTACTATGCATCCATCTAAGTAATTCTACCATTTTGAAAAAATACAGGTTGAAAATACATTTTTGACATTGTATCTATTATAAGCAAAATTTTTTAATATAATTATTTTTAAAGCAATACAGAATATCCTAGATGATTGCCAATGGTTACATTCTAATATCTAAATGTGGAAGGAAGGGTTATTAGTTTCTGACTGAATAAAGGCTAGGATTAAAGACAAAAACTTTTTGCTTATCTTCAGTACTTCCCATTTTATCGGTAATTATTCTTAAAAAGAGCAACAGTAATTATCTCTGAATGGTGGAATTCAGTGGCAATGGGCCATGGGATAGAAGACCTATAGACCTCCTGTAGACCTTCACTCTATATTCCTTTAAAACTCAAAATAAATTTTAATACATAAAGAGACATGTGCTTATGATGACGTAAAAAGTCTTTGTGGTGAAAATGGATTCACCAAGGAATGAGATTCAAATATTTTGGTTATAAACTTTGAAAAATCGAAGATTCCCTAATAGAAAAGCCAGGCTGCAGTTCCACACGTAGCCTCTGGGCGCCGCTGTCGGCCAGTGCAGAGCAAGCTCCAACGCCCGGGATCCCTCAGTCTCTTGCCTGGGATTTCCTGCGCAGCCACCAACACACAGAAGGAAACCCTCTGACTCCTGGAGAATACACGCACAGATTCCCATCCCCGAAACTGGGCTCCGCCTGTCCTGGACCGAATACTCTTCCAGCGTGGTAGATAACTTCCTCTCCCAGCTGCGAAGTGGGGGATCCAGTGAAAAAACACCCGAGTAAGTGAGTGAGTGATGGGAGGGAGCTGCGCGCAGAGGCGACGCGCCGGCCGCGGGCAGGTACTGTTTCCCTGGCTGTTGCCTTTGTTCTATTCGGCACTCGGAGAGCCGATCCGCTACTCCATTCCCGAGGAGCTGGCCAAGGGCTCGGTGGTGGGGAACCTCGCCAAGGATCTGGGGCTCAGTGTCCTGGATGTGTCAGCTCGGAAGCTGCGAGTTAGCGCAGAGAAGCTGCACTTCAATGTAGACGCGCAGAGTGGGGACTTGCTTGTGAAGGACCGAATAGACCGGGAGCAGATATGCAAAGAGAGGAGAAGATGTGAGCTGCAGTTGGAAGCTGTGGTGGAAAATCCTTTAAATATTTTTCATGTCGTTGTGACGATTGAGGATATTAATGACCATGCTCCTCAATTCCTAAAAGATGAAATAATCTTAGAAATAAGTGAATCAGTCAGCCCGGGAATGGGAACAATTCTTGAGTCTGCAAAAGATCCTGATATTGGTATGAATTCACTGAGCAAATATCAACTGGGTCCGAATGAGTATTTCTCATTAGTGGTGAAAGATAATCCTGATGGCGACAAATATCCAGAATTGTTATTGCAGAAGACCCTGGACCGAGAAACACAAAGCACTCACCACCTGGTGCTGACAGCCTTAGACGGTGGGAACCCACCCCTAAGTGGTACTATTCAGATTAGAATCATAGTGGTAGATGCCAATGATAACCCTCCTGTGTTTAGCCAGGACGTTTATAGGGTCAGCCTCCGGGAAGACGTGCCTCCAGGCACCTCAGTTCTAAGGGTGATGGCCACTGATCGGGATGAGGGCATCAATGCAGAGTTCACCTACTCTTTCCTTGGAGTGGCTGACAAAGCCCAAAGTGTGTTCTATCTGGATTCCAGTACTGGAAACATTATAACTCACCAGCCCTTGGATTTTGAAGAAGTAGAAAGATACACAATGAATGTAGAAGTAAAGGACCGTGGATCTCTCTCTACACAATGTAAAATAATCATAGAGGTTCTAGATGAAAATGACAACAGCCCAGAAATAATAATCACTTCTTTATCTGATCAGATTTTGGAGAATTCCCCTCGTGGAATGGTTGTGGCCCTCTTCAAAACACGGGACCGAGATTCGGGGGAAAACGCAGAAGTCACTTGTAGTTTAAGTAGAAACGGTCCGTTTAAGATACGTTCTTCTTCCAACAATTACTACAAGTTAGTAACAGATGGGGCCCTGGACCGGGAGCAGACCCCAGCATACAACCTTACCATCACAGCCACTGACAAAGGCAAGCCACCCCTCTCGTCCGACATAACCTTCACCCTGCACATCACTGATGTGAATGACAACGCTCCCATTTTCCAAAAGTCCACCTACCTGGTCCATGTACCAGAAAACAACCAGCCCGGGGCCTCCATAACCCAGGTCGGAGCGTGGGATCCAGATCTGGGACCCAATGGCCAAGTCTCCTACTCTATTATTGCCAGCGACCTGGAACCCAAAACATTGTCGTCCTATGTGTCGGTGAACGTGCAGAGCGGCGTGGTGTTCGCGCAGCGCTCCTTTGACCACGAGCAGCTGAGAGCCTTCGAGCTGACGATACAGGCGCGAGACCAGGGCTTGACGGCTCTCAGCACCAACGTGAGTCTGCGCGTGTTGGTGGACGACCGCAATGACAACGCTCCCCGAGTATTGTACCCGGCGCTGGGGCCCGACGGTTCCGCGCTGTTCGATACGGTTCCTCGAGCCGCACAGCCCGATTACTTGGTCACCAAAGTGGTGGCGGTTGACGCTGACGCAGGTCACAATGCTTGGCTCTCTTACCATTTATTGCAGGCGACGGATCCCGGACTTTTCAGCCTGGGACTACGCACGGGCGAGGTGCGCACTGTGCGTCCCCTGAACGACAAAGATGCTTCCCGCCACCGCCTGCTAGTCGCTGTGCGTGATGGTGGACAGCCGCCCCTCTCAGCGACCGCCACGCTGCTCTTAATCTTCGCTGATAGCCTACAGGAGGCTTTGCCGGACATCGCAGACCACCCTATTCCCTCTGATCCTCAGGCAGAGCTGCAGTTTTACCTGGTTGTTGCTTTGGCCTTGATCTCGGTGCTTTTCCTTCTTGCAGTGATTCTGGCTATTTCTTTGCGTTTGAGGCAGTATTCCAACCCTGTAGCCAGAGGCTGCTTTGGATCAGTTTTCTGCTCAAAGTCTGGACCTGTGCTGCCCCCCAATTACAGCGATGGAACGTTGCCCTATGCCTGTAATATGCGTGGGCACGGGGATCAAACTAACCCGGAATTTAATTTTCTTACTTCTGTTAATAATTTTCCTGCGGTACAAGATATTCTCAACAAAGATAGCTCTTCAGTGTTATTGGCTAGCATTTTACCTCCTGGTGTTGAAGCAGAGAAGAACACGCTTGACCAGGTATTTAAAATGACGCTTTTTATATTTCAATATGCCAGTGTAACACAATATAGTACTATTTCATGATTTTAGATAATATTTTGGTGAAGGTCTTAAGATAAATCTAGGTCAAACCTTTGGGTATTACCGTTAGAAAAAAAAAAGTTTTCAATGCTTCAAAATCCTCCTACCATACAAAGGTATTTTATAGTAAAATTATTGAGGGTTGGGGGTGTCGCTCCCTATGTTCCATTCCCAACACTCCCCACATATAAACAAGAAATCTCAGAGGAAATATTCATGAAAGTACCTTTTAGTTAAGGATATGAAATAGTTATATTTTATCATGGTATTTTAAATATCAACCCTAATGCTGTTTAAATTTTATCAAAAGTTTTATCTTTATTATACTCACAAAAATGGTAAGAATTAGTCATTCATTCTACTTGATAATTTTGTGGGGACCATGCTATCTCCACGTCCACAAATGCCTGCTCCCTTCAGTCAGTAAAATTAATTAGAACGAAGTTTTCAGTCCCGGTAGTATTTGAAATTTTTAAAAATTGAACAAGTTCTTTTAATAATCATTACTTTCATAAGTGCTTTTGGTAAACATTTAGCATCTCATTACATAACTATTTTTTGCGGTTTTAAGCTTCATAAATACGTATGATTCACAGAGGTAAGTGTTAACAATTTCTTCTGGAACCGGCACATCAGTTTTTCTTAGTGGTTGCAATAATAAAAGTGGGCTCTAGGCGCCGCTGTTCACCAATCAGGGAACGGGAGGCTGCGAGCTATTGAGCCCCTTCCCCGACCAAAGCAGAATAAGATGGATACTCACAGATCCTGATGCTGGAAACTTAAAAGCACTTTCCTTCGCTTTCTAATATATTTTGGATGCGGACGGCCTGGGACCTCGTGGACAGACAGGTAAGCTGATTGAGATCAAACCCGCTCTAGACACTACGGATTATCGGCTCGATCCAGGCCATGGCGAATGCGCCCCAGAGCCTGGAACGCAGCGCGCTGGTGCTGCTGTGTATTTTCCTGGGGACGCTGCGGGAATCTGGAGCCGGACACATCCGATACTCTGTGCTAGAAGAGGTGGACAAAGGCTTCTTCGTGGGCAACATCTCCAAGGACCTAGGGTTGGAGCCCCGGGAGCTGACCGACCGCGGAGTCCGCATCGTCTCCCGGGGGAAGACGCAGCTTTTCGCTCTGAATCCGCGAGGTGGCAGCTTGATCACCGCGGGTAGGATAGACCGGGAGGAGCTCTGTGAAACGGTTTCCTCCTGCTTTTTAAATATGGAGATTCTTGTGGAGGACACCCTGAAGATTTATGGAGTGGAGGTAGAAATAATGGATGTTAATGATAATGCTCCTAGCTTTCGGGAAGAGGAAATAGAGATAAAAGTCAGTGAGCACGCAGCTCCTGGATTGAGATTTCCTCTACCTAACGCTAGGGATCCAGATGTGGGAGTGAACTCTCTCCAGAGCTACCAACTCAGCCCTAATAGTTACTTTTCCTTGCAAATGAGAGGAGGAACTGATGGGGCAAAGAATCCGGAACTAGTGCTGGAGCGAGGTCTGGACCGGGAGAAAGAGGCTGCTCACCTCCTCCTCCTCACAGCCTTAGATGGAGGCGATCCCATAAGCAAGGGCTCAGTTCCCATTCGAGTGGTGGTCCTGGATGTAAATGACCACATCCCAAAGTTTACTCAGTCTGTGTATAGAGTGAGTGTTCCTGAAAACCTCAGCTCTGGAACTCGAGTGCTGGTGGTAAATGCAACGGATCCAGATGAGGGTCTCAACGGGGAAGTGATGTATTCGTTCCAGAATACAGAAAGCAAAGCTTCTGAAATATTCCATTTGAATTCTCAAACTGGCGAAGTTCTAGTACAAGGGCCTCTGGATTTTGAAAAATATAGGTTCTATGAGATGGAAATTCAAGGCCAAGATGGTGGCGGTCTCTTGACCACTGCTAAGATGTTCGTTACAGTTTGGGATGTGAATGATAATGCTCCAGAAATAACTATCACCTCTTCTATTGATTCGGTGTTGGAAAATTCGCCTCCAGGAACGGTAATTGCTCTTCTAAATGTGCAAGATCGAGATTCTGGAGAAAATGGTCAGATCTCCTGTTTCATTCCTAACAATCTCCCTTTTAAGTTAGAAAAAACTTATGGAAATTATTACAAGTTAATAACAAACATCGAGCTGGACAGAGAGCAAGTCCAGAGCTATAACATAACATTGACAGCCAAAGACCAAGGAAGTCCATCCCTATCCACAGAAATTCACCTCTTACTCAATGTGGGAGACAAGAACGATAACCCTCCAGTCTTCACTCACTCTTCTTACTCTACCTATGTTTCTGAAAACAATCCTAGAGGATCCTCCATTTTCTCAGTGACCGCTCTTGACCCAGATAGCAAAGAGAATGCCCAGGTCACTTATTCTCTCACAGAAGACATGATCCAAGGAGCACCTCAGTCCTCCTATGTATCTATCAACTCGGATACTGGGGTACTGTATGCATTGCGCTCTTTTGACTATGAGCAGTTCCAAAACCTACAACTGAGAGTGACTGCATGTGATAGTGGGGACCCACCACTCAGCAGCAATGTGTCAGTGAATCTGTTCATACTGGACCAGAATGACAACATTCCTGAGATCTTGTATCCCATCCTCCCCACTGATGGTTCCACTGGGGTGGAGTTAGCACCCCGATCTGCAGAGCCTGGATACCTGGTGACCAAAGTGGTGGCAGTGGACAGAGACTCAGGACAGAATGCCTGGCTGTCCTACCGCCTGCTCAAAACCAGTGAGCCTGGGCTCTTCACTGTGGGGCTGCACACAGGTGAGGTGCGCACTGCCCGGAACCTACTGGACAAAGATGCGCTCAAGCAGAGCCTTGTGGTGGCCGTCCAGGACCATGGTCAACCTCCCCTCTCAGCCACTGTGACACTCACAGTGGCAGTGGCTGACAGCATCCCAGAAGTCCTGGCTGACTTGGGCAGTCTGGAGTCTTCCACCAACCCAGATGAATCAGGCCTCACACTCTACCTAGTTGTGGCCATCACAGCAGTCTCCTGTATCTTCCTCATCTTTGTCATTGTGCTGCTGGCACTCAGACTGAGGCACTGGCATTCCTCACATTTGCTCCAGGGAGCAGGCAGCGGGTTAGGGGGCACGCCCGCCTCTCACTTTGTGGGTATTGAGGGGGTGCATGCCTTCCTACAGACCTATTCCCATGAGGTGTCCCTCACCGCTGACTCTCGGAAGAGCCACTTGATCTTCCCGCAGCCCAACTATGCAGACACGCTCATCAGCCAGGAGAGCTGTGAGAAAAGCGAGCCTCTCTTGATAGCTGAAGACTCAGCTACTGTTTTAGGCAAATATGACCCAACAAACAATCAGGTGAGATTTATTCTACCCAATTGTTAATGCGTTGGTACAAGGGTTTTAAGGGGATTTTTTTTCAGAGCCTATTAAGAAAACTGGGTTTATGGCAGGTGAAAGTTCATACACATTTAGAATATTCATGAGTTCTTGTACTTTACCTTTCATCAGATTTTCCATCATTTTGCACAAAGACTTTGTGGAAGTCATTTTTTTTTAGTACTGGCATATTTTCTTTTTATTTCAAAGGTCTAATTCATCTTGGCTTACTTTATAGTTAAGTTGAATTTTAGTATTATTTTTCTATCATCATTGTCTGTGGCTATCAATGTAAACTGATTAATTCAAATTAAGGATTCACAGTTTTTATTTATTTTCACAGTCTTCCAATTTGACTATGTCTCCATTGATTACAGTTACATTCTATCATTATTTGCTATTACTTCTAATGTCAAAATTAACCATATTGATTCAATAGCTTGTTTCTTCTGTTCTATTCATATGCACACTTATACATGTAACCATTTTTCTAAGCATAAAGCAATTCTATTTTGCTTTTTGATGATTGATAATATATTTAGATTGTATAGACTGTTTCAACTTTGCCTCATTGCTTCATCCTATCAAGATAGATTTGAGTAGGTTTTAATTATTGAATTTGCTTGGGAGAGGAAATGTAGAACTTCTTTTCCTTAAGTTCCAGATATCTTTTTTATTACTATGATGAAGTCAATAGATTGTTCTCAAGAAATAATCAAATCATTGAACTGGTATTATTTCCTTTTGTTCTTTACTGTCTGTGTAGAAAACGTTTTAATGTAGAAAGTTCACATATGATAAAATTTTGATCCAGTGCTTCTCAAAAAGTTATTTTCAAATCTGTTAAAAGATTTATTTTCAGATTTATTTATATAGAATAGTTTCTGAGTTATGTAAGAGATTGAGTAGGTATTTAGACTTTTATAAGAGATTGATTTAGGGGTTAAGCTCTGTGGTTTAGCTCAGCAGTTGAGCATGTGTTTAGCATGCCCAAGGCCCTGGATTCAATCCCAGCACACACAAAGAGACTGATTTAACTGGTATTCTTCTGGGTATTTTTTTGTTCCTTTTCAAACTATCTAGGAAGTATGGGTTCTTGCTTTCTTTCCTTCATAAATTCATTTTGTATTCTATATAATTATACTCAATTACTGTTTGAGAAACAACTTTTTATTGACACTTTGATAGTTATTTAATGATATATATGTTATCTAAAGCAATGCCTAGAAAAACCAAGTATGAAAATGGAGACTTACTTAGGGTATCTGATCACAGGAATCATTTTCATCATCAGTTAAATTCAGCATGCTCACATAATTTCTAGATATTTGTGCATTAATGTTCCCTTTCAAGTTTATGTTTTACATTGAGGAGTTGGCCTTAATATAATTAACTGTTAGTTGAGTACCTAGTGTTTGGGGAAGGGATCAATTGTAGAAAGGGAATTCTTCTGACAGATGCCTAAATTAGTCTTGAAGTCAAGAAAAATGCTGGAGTGTTGTGAGTATCTCAGTCGTTCATTCATTTGGAGAAAAGATTTTTGCCTCGTTCTCTTCTAACATGTGCATTTCCTCTGATTAGAAAAAAGACCAACTGTTAACCTCTTATTACTATATGAGCCTATATCTCTACTGTATAAGCCCATCTCCAAGAAACCTTCTTTGATAATAAACACTGGAAAATAAACACATCCAAAATTCACCAAGTTCCCTATATATCAATCTAATTTACCTGTTGGAATACCAAATCCCATTAAATTTGCAAAGGCTTCTAACTGCTGTTTTCTAAATAGACTCTGAGTGTCGCTGTTGGCCAATTTGCTGCAAGAGCTGGATCCTGAGATGCACCCAGAGTGGTATTCTGCATAGTCACAGAAGCGAGAGTGAAAGGAGAGTGGCCGGGACTTGTGTTTTCTTTTAGGCAAGAATCCGTTGAGATTGGGATACACTCAAACTAGGAGCATTGGGTTTTCTCTGCAGTGGAAATAAATATTTTAAAAGCAATTTGTGAAGCATCTTATCTTAACATCGAGGCTGCAACAACACAAAAAGAAGAATGGAATATAGGGCGAAGAAAAGGAGCAGGACCCTCTATCGGCAAGTACTCTTTCCTTTCCTGCTGCCTTTGTTCTGCGCAGCTCTTGGGAAGCAAATCCACTATTCTATTCCAGAAGAAATGGCCAGGGGCTCCGTGGTGGGGAACCTTGCTGAGGACCTGGGGCTGAATGTTCAGGATTTACTGACCCGCAACCTTAGAATTGGCGCAGAGGAAAAATACTTTACTATAAACACTGAGAATGGGGATATACTTGTGAGTGAAAGAGTAGATCGGGAGTTGCTCTGCTCCCAGAATTCCCTGTGTGTTGTGCCCTTAGAGATTGTAGCAGAAAATCCTCTAAATGTTTTTCACATAAACGTGATGATAGAGGATATAAATGATAATCCACCCAACTTCCCCCAGAGCAGCATTGTTCTACAAATCAATGAACTTGCAATTCTGGGGACTCGGTTTGGCCTGGAATCTGCTATAGATGCAGATGTAGGACCTCACTCTCTCCAGGATTACCAGCTCAGCTCTAACGAACATTTCTCTTTGATGGTGAAGGGCAAGTTGGAAGACAAAATTGCCCCTGAATTAGTGTTGGAAAAGCCCCTGGATCGGGAACAACAGAGCTCCCATCTCCTGGTCCTGACAGCAGTGGATGGGGGAGACCCAGTCCTGACTGGCACAACTCAAATTCAAATCAAGGTCATTGATGCCAATGATAACCCACCAGTGTTCAGCCAGGATATGTACAAAGTCAGCCTTAAAGAGAACATGCCCCCAGGCACCTCTGTGCTGAAGGTGACAGCCACAGACCAAGATGAGGGCATCAATGCAGAGATCACCTACTCCTTCAAATCGCTAGGACATAATATTGGAAATAAGTTTATGCTAGACCATCAAAATGGAGAAATTATATCCAAAGACCCTATAGACTTTGAAATCAGTAGCCATTATACCATAAGCATAGAAGCCAAGGACGGTGGAGGCATGGCCACAGAATGTAAAATTATACTAGAAATTCTAGATGAGAATGACAATGCTCCAGATGTGGTTTTTACGTCAGTGTCCAGTTCCATAACCGAGGACACAAAGCCAGGCACCGTGATTGCTCTGTTCAAAACACATGACAAAGATTCAGGAGAAAATGGGGAAGTCACATGCCTCATAAAAGAAAAACTTCCTTTTAGAATTGAATCTTCTGCCAATAATTACTACAAACTTGTAACAGATGGGACCCTGGACCGGGAGAAGACCCCAGAGTACAATGTCACCATCACTGCTACAGACAAGGGCAAACCGCCCCTTTCCTCCAGCACAAGTATCACCCTACACATTGGCGACGTCAACGACAATGCTCCAGTTTTTCAGCAGGCCTCCTACATGGTGCACGTGGCTGAAAACAACCCTCCAGGATCTTCCATCGCTCAAGTCAGTGCCTCCGACCCAGATTTGGGGTCCAACGGCCAAGTCTCCTACTCCATCGCGGCCAGCGATCTGGAGCCTCGGGCATTGTCATCCTACGTGTCTGTGAGCCAACAGAGCGGCGTGGTGTTCGCACAGCGAGCCTTCGACCACGAGCAGCTGCGTTCCTTTGAACTGACGCTTCAGGCTCGTGACCACGGCTCGCCCGCGCTCAGCGCCAACGTGAGCCTGCGCGTGTTGGTAGGCGACCGCAACGACAACGCGCCGCGGGTGCTCTACCCCGCGCTCGCTCCCGACGGCTCTGCGCTCTTCCACACTGTGCCGCGTGCCGCGGAGCCGGGCTACCTGGTCACCAAGGTGGTGGCGGTGGACGCGGACTCGGGACACAATGCCTGGTTGTCCTACCACGTGCTGCAGGCCAGCGATCCTGGACTCTTCAGCCTGGGACTGCGCACTGGCGAGGTGCGCACAGCTCGCGCCTTGAGCGACAAGGACGCGACTCGCCAGCGCCTGCTGGTCGCTGTGCGTGATGGTGGACAGCCACCTCTTTCGGCAACAGCCACTCTGCTCCTGGTCTTTGCTGACAGCCTGCAGGAGGCACTGCCAGACCTCAGTGACCCCCCTGTGCCCTCAGACCCCCAAGACGAGTTGCAGTTTTACCTGGTGGTGGCCTTGGGCTTGATCTCAGTGCTCTTCCTCCTGGCAGTGATTCTGGCTGTTGCCTTGCGCCTGGGTCACTCCTCCAGTTCTGCTTCCTGGGGTTGCTTTCACTATGATCTCTGTTCTCAGACTAGGCCAAGCGTTTCTCTCAACTACAATGAGGGAACTTGGCCTTATTCATACAATATGTACGTTGCTTCGGATTCCCGCAAAACAGAGTTTAATTTTCTCACTATGACGCCAGAAATGTTCCCCCAACAAGATCTTTCTAATGAAGCTTCTTTGGCAGTAAGTGTCACTGTGGAGAATAACAAGATAAAATTTGACTCTGTTGCTCCTACTCACGTGAGTTTCAATGAGTCCTTTATTTGTATGTGGTTTGGTTTAATTTTCAAACCAATATTTTGGCAAGAAAATCTTAAGCAGGTAATTGCTTCAAGTTTGTTTGCTCACTCTCAATATTGTGGATTACTTAACCTTCCAGCATTTTGGAATATTTTATTCACACACACCAAAAATAACCAAAACAAAACAAACTCTGTAAGAAGTAAGCATTATGATGCTACTGCCATGTAAATATTTTAAATTGAACTATAATTATTGTTCTTTCCTGTTTTTGTTTGTTTGGTACTGGTAATTTAACCCAGGGTGCTTTACAACTGAGCTACATCCTTGATCCTTTTTAAAATTTTGAGACAGGGTCTCCCTAAATTGCTTAGGACTTAGCTAAGTTGCTGAGCTTTGCCACAAAAATGCCGTTTTCCTCCTTCAGCCTCCCAAGTCACTGAAATTATAGGCATGTGCCACTGTAGGTGTTTCTTGAGCGATCAATATCTTGAGGATATAAGGCTTTTTCTTTATTAACTATAAATTGAGAGGAAACACATAAGGTTTTTTTTACAGAAATAAAGACAGTAATAATTGATAGTAATATTCAGGTATATCAAAATATTATTTGATAATAATATTCATATATATATATATATATATATATATATATACACATATTTACTAGGGGTTCTTGGAATTTCACTAAGTAGTCAGTTTTATGTCTGATCTTCCTTTACAGGTAACTCTAAATTCCCTCCCAACATTTACTTATTTAAAATTCCTGAGGATTGAACCTAGGGCCTCACACATGCTGGACAAGGGCTCTACCACTGAGCTACATCCCCAGCCCTCCAATTTTTAAGATATTATTTTGTGACTACCAAGGACTGGATTGTAGTTCAGTTGTAGAGTGCCTGAGGCCCAGGGTTCAATCCTAGTACCTTTCCAAAAGCGCTTATCCTCAGAATGTAAATATTTACATTCATAAAAACATAGTAGCCAGTTATTTCTTAGGAGGATTTTTTTTCCTGTATTTTGATGTGTTTCCAAATGTAATACTGGTAATTCTCAATAACTGGAAATAGGTCAGTTACCCAGTAAAAGGTAAGTTTATAACATTCTTTGGATTACTAATTTTCTTTTAATAAGATTTTCTGAACACAAAACATTCTTTTGAAATATAATGTATTATTTTAAAATTTTTATTAGTTATCGATTAACCTTTATTTATTTATTTGTTTATATGTGCTGCTGAGAATCAAACCCAGTGCCTCACACATGGTAGGCAAGGGCTCTACCACTGAGCCACAACCCCAGCCCCTATAATGTATTATTAGAATTGTAGAGTATTAGCTTTATTTCCAGTTAGTGCAAGTTGAAACACTTCCATTTAATTCTGAAAGAGTTGATACATGTTCACCTGACTTCTTCCAGGTATGTTTCTGATAATGTGTTCAATTTCTCATTATTAATTTTCCCTACAATCATGGAAATTTGATTTTAAGTGTTATATGCCAAACTGTTAAAGTAGTGCTTCCATTTAGGCACACCAAATAATCTACTGAAAAAAAAATGCCCCACATTATAGCTGAATCTGAAAGTTTAAATTATTTTATTACAAAAACTATCAAAACAGGAAGTTCCTAGGGAGCCTCCTCCCATAATAGATGTGTTGAGGGGTGTGGATCTCAAAGCAAGTGCACTAAAATCATGAGATTAAAATTACTTTTATGGAAACTTCAAAGTCTCTTAAAAGTGATTGGAAAAAATGGAAAACAATCTTAAAGTGGTTCTATATGGAAAATGTTAAGGAAATTAAAATAACCTCGCTAAAGTTTCTACTTAAAGAAATACTATTGGTTTAGTAGGCTCCATTCCTATCCTTATTTGACGAACAGTAGATGGAGCTATTTGAGGTATAAAAATGAAAAATCCTTTCCCGGGAATTCAAGATTGTGCAGTAATTGGTTAGGACTCTGAGCGCCGCTGTTCACCAATCAGGGAGAGAAAAGCAGAGATCCTGTTCGCCTTGCATGCGCCAAAAACACAAGCACAGATAGATTGAAACAGACCATCTTTGTGAAGAAACTGAACGCAGGAGCTCACACCACCCGCTCGCCTCAACTATCCGGCGACAGGAGAGCTGATCCTGACTTCGGTGTCAAGGGTAGAATTAGAAATAATCCTAGAGGAAAGTGACACAATGATTTCTGCAAGACTTCACCGAGATGGCAAGGGGCTGGTCCTGCTGGGAGTTCTCCTAGGGATCCTTTGGGAAGCCGGATGCACCCTGATACGCTATTCAATTCCTGAAGAGCTGGAGAAAGGCTCTAAGGTGGGCGACATCTCCAAGGACCTGGGACTGGAGCCCCGGGAGCTAGCAGAGGGAGGAATCCGCATCGTCTCTGGAGGTAGCACTCAACTTTTCGCTCTGAACCCGCGAAGCGGCAGCTTGGTCACGGCAGGCAGGATAGACCGCGAAGAACTCTGTATGGGAGCCATCAAATGTCAATTAAATCTAGAGATTCTCATAGAGAATAAAGTGAAAATATACGGGGTGGAAGTAGAAGTAAGGGACATTAACGATAACGCTCCCTACTTCCGTGAAAGTGAATTAGAAATAAAAATGAGTGAAAACGCAGCCACTGGAATGCGCTTCCCCCTTCCCCACGCTTGGGATCCAGATGTCGGGAAGAACTCTCTGCAGAGCTACAAGCTCAGTCCGAATCCTCACTTCTCCCTGGAGGTGCAAAACGGAGCAGATGGTAACAAGTATCCGGAATTGGTGCTGGAACACGCCCTAGATCGCGAAGAAAAGGCCACACACCACCTGGTCCTCACGGCTTTGGACGGGGGCGATCCGGTCCGCACCAGCACCGCGCACATCCTCGTGATAGTTGTTGATGTGAACGACAATGCACCAGAGTTTGCTCAGTCCGAGTATCACGTGAGTGTTCCGGAGAATGTGGCCGTGGGCACTCAGCTGCTTCTAGTAAATGCCACTGACCGGGACGAAGGAGCCAATGGGAAAGTGATGTATTCCTTCCGGTATGTGGACGATAAGGCGTCCCAAGTTTTCAAACTAGATAGTAATTTAGGGACGATATCAACAATAGGGGAGTTGAACTATGAGGAATCAGGTGTCTACGAGATGGAAGTGCAAGCAATGGATAATGCAGGATATTCAGCACGAACCAAGGTCCTGATCACAGTTCTGGACGTAAATGACAACGCCCCTGAAATAATCGTCACCTCTCTCACCAACACAATTCCGGAAAACTCTCCCAGAGGGACATTAATTGCCCTTCTAAAAGTAAATGACCAAGACTCTGGGGAAAATGGACAAGTAGTCTGTTTTATCCAAGGGAATTTGCCCTTTAAATTAGAAAAATCTTACGGAAATTACTATAGTTTGGTCACAGACACAGTTTTAGACCGGGAACAGGTTGCTAGCTACAACATCACGGTGACTGCCACTGACAGGGGAAGTCTGCCCCTATCAACTAAAACTCATATCTCCTTGAAGGTAACAGATACAAACGATAACTCGCCAGTCTTCCTTCAGGCCTCCTACTCTGCCTATCTCCCAGAGAACAACCCTAGAAGCGCCTCCATCATCTCCGTGACTGCACACGACCCCGACTGTGATGAGAACGCCCAGGTCACTTATTTCTTGGCTGAGGACAACCTCCAAGGGGCACCCGTGTCCTCCTATGTCTCCATTAACTCAGACACCGGCGTTCTGTACGCATTGCACTCCTTCGACTATGAGCAATTCCAAGAGCTACAGCTGCAAGTAATGGCACGTGATAGTGGGAAACCTCCACTCAGCAGCAACGTGTCTTTGAGCCTCTTCATTCTGGACCAGAATGACAACACTCCTGAGATCTTGTATCCTGCCCTCCCCACTGATGGCTCCACTGGGGTAGAGCTGGCACCCCGATCTGCAGAGCCCGGATACCTAGTGACTAAGGTAGTAGCAGTGGACAAGGACTCAGGCCAGAATGCTTGGCTGTCTTACCGCCTGCTGAAGGCCAGCGAGCCAGGGCTTTTCTCTGTTGGGCTACACACGGGTGAGGTGCGCACCACAAGGACCCTGCTGGATAGAGATGCCCTCAAGCAGAGCCTGGTGGTGGCTGTGCAGGACCACGGCCGGCCCCCTCTCTCGGCCACTGTCACGCTCACAGTGGTGGTGGCCAACAGCATCCCTGATGTCCTCGCAGATCTGGGCACCCTAGTGTCACCTGCCAACTCTGAAACCTCAGGCCTCACACTTTACCTGGTGGTGGCAGTGGCTGCAGTGTCCTTTGTCTTCCTGGCCTTTGTTATTGTGTTGCTGGCGCTCAGGCTGAGGCAATGGCACTCCTTGCGCCAGCTCCAGGCTGCAGAAAATGGATTGGCTGGCTTACCCGCCTCTCACTTTGTGGGCGTGGACGGGGTGCGTGCTTTTCTACAGACCTATTCGCATGAGGTCTCCCTCACTGCCGACTCTCGGAAAAGCCATTTGATCTTTCCGCAGCCCAACTACGCAGACACACTCATCAGTCAGGAGAGCTGTGAGAAAAGTGAGCCTCTTTTGCTGGCAAGTGATTTGGTCTTCTCTAAAGACAATCATGCATTAATTCAGGTGAGTCCATATCATATATTCTCGGAGTTTGAATCAAAATACCTCTTAGTATAGCTGATTCACGTGTATTTAGAATTGATAAAGCAGATGCCAGTAAATTTACGTGCACTTCGCACACGCCCACAACCCAGTTGTTCTGTTTCCTCATGCCTTGTTTATAAATATATGTGTATGTGTATATACGTATATATACAAACATATAATATGTATTTAAACGTTTACATACAAATATGACAATATTATTAATGTACTATTATGTACTATATAAACAATTTATAAAGTATTTAGTTAATATTCTATATAGTTTTCTAGTTTATCAACTGTAATACTCTTCCAGCTTATAATATTTTTCCTATTAGCTATGTAGCAGCTTTGTGTCAAACATTTAAAGTCAATTTATCGGTGAAGAACATAGATTCTTGCTGGGCTTGGTAGCACTTGTCTGTAAACCCATCTACTAGGGAGGCTGAGGCAGGAGGATCTTGAATTCAACAACAGCTTCTACAACATAGCTAGACCTTGTGTAAAATTTTAAAAAGGGTTGGGAATGGATGTAGCTCAGTGGTAGAATTCCCCCCTACATTCAATCCCCAACACCAGAAAGAAAAAGTTTTATATATGTATATATTTTTGTGGTGCTGGACCAGAACATGCTAAGCTCCCTATCACCGAGCTATATCCCCAGCCCCAATAGAATGGCTTTAAAATATATGTGTGTGTGTGTGTGTGTGTGTATTTTAGTTGTGGATGGGCATAGTACATTTTTATGTGGTTCTGAGGATCAAACCAATGCCTCACACATGCCAGTCGAGAGCTCTACTACTGAGCCACAACCCCAGCCCTAGAATACCCTTTAACTAAACTTGAGATTGCTAACATTTATAAAGTACATTTAGTTTCTTTTAAAGGACATTAATTCAAGCTTTGCACAGTGGCAGTATCGTAACCAATGAGGTGTATCTGATGTGTGGTTATTGCTAGTTAATGAACATTAATTTCTGGTTATCAGAGATATATACATTTATACTTTCTTGGTGTCTTAAGTCATTTCAGGTTTTTATTCATTAAATTTCCAAATATGGCAGGTTTATTTCTTATACATTGGAAGTTTTCTCAAATATACAATGTAATTGTCATGAGGAAGAACTGTGAAGATATTTTTACCTCTATTATACATTTCATTATACATAAAAAATACTGTAATAAAGTCACACATTTCTTTTGCTCATTTTACCTGCAACAATCATATTAATGATGACTTTGTGAAGTATTCAGAATTAACAAAATGGCACAGTGATAACTTGAACTATCTTTGCCATCTACTCAGCTGAGAATTTCTTTGAAGAAATTTAGAAAAAAAATTTTTTGGTCCCAGCTACTTGGGAGGCTGAGGCAGGAGGATCTCAATTTCCAAGCAAGCTGGAGAAACTTAGTTAAACCCTCTCTGAAAATAAAAATTAAAAAAAGGTCTGGGGATGTGGGAGAGCACTTACCTAGCATATGCATGGCCCTGCATTTGATGCCCAGCACCACAAAAAATAATAAAATATTTTATTAATAACAAATTATTAATAATAATATAAATATTTAATAATAAAATAATAATAAAAATAAATGTGTTTGGGGCACATTTTTGGTATGATGGGAACTTTGCAGAAATCCCCTTTCTTTCTACATTAAAATTTCTATAACTTTTTATAACATGGAGAGTTTTCTTGAAAGTGCACAGATTCTGTTTCCTGAAAACCTTATGATTAGTGTAGAATATTTAACAGAAATTGGAAGCAAAGATATATTACTCTTGAGAAAGCAAGAAGGGAATACAAAAAGGTTTCTCGCCTTTTAAAGGAGTAGGGAACCAAAACATCCAAATTAACTTTTTTTCTTTTTATTTGTTACCTGTCTACTTTAAAAATACAGTAGTCAATACCTAGGTTTATAAAAGATAAAGAAAGGTAATCAAATGGCTCTAAAATGACGCAGTTTCTTCTACCAAGAGCACATATCTCTTTATGCTTCTTAATAACCAAGAACAACATCAACAACAAAATAGAAGTAATATAGATTGTGTGGTTCCACTTGTGTGCTTTAAAAACAGGAAGCATTTGAGCTTATATAAAAATAGAAAATTTGCTTTTAGTTCCCATAGAAGTTACTAAGTATAATGTTCTATGACTAACACTAAGAGAAATAGATAGCAGTGCATGCACTCTTGCAGAAACTATCAAAATGTTTATCACATGGCAGTTCACATATGATGGGCAACTCAAAATGAAAGCTGTAATTAAAAAACAAAAATTATTTAAGAATCTAGCTAATAAGTTATAATTATGCTGATATCTGTTCACCTAACTTGATTTAAGGACAAATCAGTAAGAGTTAGGACATGAATATTCATGACTCTTAGACCATCTTAAAAATCAGTTTGAGTGGGAAAGTCTTCATTAAGCAGTTGTTTATTAATGAATGATAAACAGTGTCATGAGTTTTTGGATGTAGTATCATAGAAGACAGAGTTTTGCAAATAGGTAACTTCTTCACCTTTGAGAAGTTATTTCATCTCTTTGAGCTTCAGTAAAACAGGGATAATAATATCTAATTTGAAAAATTGTGATCAGGATTAGGGGTAATATATAAATAATCTTATTCATAACTTGTAGTTAATAAACTGTAGCCATTTTTTATGGTTGACAGAAAAATTCATGCTTTCAATGTCAGCATACTTGCCATTCTATTGGGAAAAGTCATAATGAATTATGTGCTTCTCCCAGTAATACAATGGGACAACTGGAGGCTGAATACAAAAGTTTTCTAAAATTTTTTGTGAAGCTGACTTAAAAATCTTAAGTTCCTAGGCATTTTCATCTGAGGCATTTGTGAATCTTAATTTTTTGTCTGAATAGTGTGATCTAAACAAAGGTCCTATCAAACTTCTTATTGTAAAAAAGCAGTTTACAAGACCAACCTTGGCAACTTAGTGAGACAATGTCTCAAAAATTAAAACACACACACAAACAATTTAAAAGAAGAGGGAAAGGCCAGCCATGGTGACACTAACCTGTAATCCTGGGAACGCAGGCTGAAGAAGGAGGAACACAAATTTGAGGCTAGACTCAGTGACTTAGTGAAACACTAAGCAACTTAGTGAGAACCTGTCTCAAATTAAAAATATAAAAAGAGCTAGGGATGTGGTTCAGTGGTAAAGCACCTTGGGTTCAATTCCAGTATACCCCCTACCCCCTGCTGCCTCCCCTCAAAACCAAACAACAACAGCACACCAAAAAAAAAAAAAAAAAAGAAAAGAAAGAAAAGAAAAGAAACAAGAGCTGGGGATATAAATATAGCTCAGTGGAAGAGTACCCAGGGTTTAATCCCCAGTAGTGGGGAAACAAAAAGCAGTTTAACTGGAAAACAGATCACCAAAACCTAAAGTTTGAAGTTATTTAGTTTTGGATGTACAAAACACAATCTTAATTTTAGATCATTTAGGATGGTTGTTGATAATTGATAACTAAAATATTTGTTGATTGCTTTCCAAGACTGGAGTAATGGGTTTCGATGTTTACATTTCTTCTGGTTCCAATAATGAAAGTATATCAAGGACTTTGCTTGTCTTCCTATGTGCTCTGGCAAGGGGTACTCATTCATTAGATTTAATAAGTTAATTGATGTATTTTGCTGTGACTTAAAAGTCTAGGCTCTGCAGGATATTGAAATGTAATCTGTCAGCAAACATTCTTCTACTAATTTCATCCTAAGAGAAATATTGAGGGCTGGGATTGTGGCTCAGTGGTAGAGCGCTCGCCTAGCACGGGCGGGACCCAGGTTTGATCCTCAGCACCACATAAAAATAAAGGCATTGTGTTGTGTCCATCTACACCTAAAAAATAAATATTAAAAAAAGAAATTTTGAATTAGCAACAGCCTAATAACCTTGCTGAAATTATACACTTCATAGATCATTTTTCAATAATGTGGAAATCAAATGATATAATGAGACAATTGTATGCAATTTTGTGAGTGTTAATATTGTTAAATTGTGTATAGTTTCTCAGTAATATGTAACAGTTTAACTCTGATCTGGAATTGGTGATTCTGGTGGAAAATCTACTTTTTCCTCATATAGTTGTGAAGAGATGTTGATCAAGCTTAAAGAGTCTGTATCTTAGGAAAGAGATTCTCTAGTGTTACACTTTGAGTTCATCTTTGGGAACTATACCTAATGGGGGACATGGCTTTAGCATGGCATGCATTTAGAAACCATAATTGAAAATCCTTTAAATGTTTTTCATTTTAACGTAGAGAATCAGGATGTGAATGATAATGCCTTACAGTTTAGCAGGAATATTATTAAGTTAAATATCTCTGAGTTGACCCAACCATGAGCAAGATTTACTATATAATCTTTGGAAGACCCTAAGGTATCAAGCAATTCCTTTCAAAATTCCTACCTTAGCGGCAATTCTATATTTATCTTCAAAGTAAAAGAGACCAACAGCGGAAAGAAATATTATCTTAGACAAGCCACTAAACCAGGAAAACCATAGTACCCATCTCTTAGTGCCAACAGCTTTAGATAGTGGGGACCTTCCATAAATGGCAACACTCAGATCCTGGTAGTCAGTGCCAATGACAACCCCCTGTGTTCAACGAAGACATGTAATGGATGGTCCTTCAGAAGACATGTCCTTGGGCACCTCCATGCTGAGAGTAAGAAGCATCAACCAGGATGTGGGAACTAATACAGAGATCATTTAGGCCTTTGCAGCCCAGAGTACCAATTTCCAATTTGGCCTTGAAAACAAGAGTGGAGAAACAAAAAATTTAAGTACATTGGACTTTGGAGAGATTAAAAAATATTCTTCAGTTTTGGAGGCAAGGAGAGAAGACTGGTGGCTCAATCAGTGTACTGTTGAGACAGAAATTCTAGAAGATAATGACAGTATCCCAGAGGTGACTTTTACTTCTAATTCCACAATGTTTCCAGAAGATTCTGTATC